CATTTGTAGAATTTATTAAAATATTGTATGTCTTAATTTAACTTTTAGATTTTTTTTTTTGTTATGCTCAGTATAAGTGTTTCTTCTTTTTACCTTTCGATGCTTATTTGCATACTCCATGAATTTCTGTCTTTTATGGAAAGTCCCATTGTATGGTGGTTTTATTATTTTATACCGTTAATGTGCAGCTTTTTGTCATAGTGTCCTAATACCCTTACTTTTAATAAGCAGGTTATTTTTTATCTTCATAGCGTTATGACAGTCCTATGACATCAGTTAATAAAATTCATGTTCAGTAACAATATTTATAAATAGTATATTCTGAATCCAATAAGTATTTCTACGTATTAATTTCAATATACTCCTAGTGGTTAATTCTGCTTTCTCCCCTTTTGTTGCTATTTTCTAAAATATATTACTTGAAAAATAAAATGTAATTATATTTCTCTAAATTGCCAGTGCTGCATCATAAGCTAGAATTTTCCATAAAATGGTTTGGATATTTAAATAGAAATATTGATAGTGTTGGAAAAATGATAAGGAAATATAATGTAATTTCTACTTATCTTAATTATCATCATACACTGCAATAATATAATCTAGATCTAGGATTTTACTTTTAGTTTTACCCATAATTATTTGCCATGGGTGCCAGAATGATCCTGCTAACCACTTTTGCCCTGAAGAAGTAATCAAGTTCCCGCTAAGAGGCAATATTAATGTATTAATATATTATTGAGTTGCCCCTTTGCATAGTTAAAAAAAATAATTATCTTGGATGTTCTACAGTTTTGGTGCATTGATGTATATATATTTCATAAGAAAAGAATGTGTATATATATATATATATTTCAGAACACATTCTTAACTGCTGTTTTGTTCACTATGGCCTTGATTTATATATTTTTTTTCCCAATAAGCTTTCCAAAATTATCAAAATCAGAAAAAAAAAGGTATTTGTCTACAAAAAAAACCACACAGACTTTACTGGTGACTTCTGTAGATAAATTATTTGCAATCTTTTCATTTTTCAAATGTTTATGTGAAAAGTCTATGTAGAAATATTAAATTGAGGCATTAGTAAACAGTAGCTACAAGGTTAGGAATGTGTTATGAGACATGTATACACCAAAAGCATGGAACATGCAAGATAATTAAATGCACTTTACCCACTCACCAATATTGAATTCTAAACTAATGTGGCCACATAGAGATAGAGGATGGGTTACTACAGTGCCCAAAAATAAAATGTAATGTGCTGCTAACCTTGTACCCTGTTGCTCAAAGCAGGGTCAAATCCAAGTACAGAAAATAAAGCAATCGCAACTAGATGCTAAATGTGGACAAGAAGTGCTACATACAATTTATATGATGGACCAAAAACAACCGTTTTGGGTTTTCCCATTGTTAATGCCAAAAAAGTCCTGAATTACATTTTTGTAAGGTTTTTGTTGTTTTTTTTTAAAGGATTCTAAGTTTTTGTGCTCAATGCCTTTTTTAATAGCCAGAAGATAAAGATATGGGAGTCAGCTCACACTGGTTAAGTGTTAAGGGTTATTTAATCAAGTGGGAAATTTAAAGTAAATTCAAATCAAATTTCAGATTTAATGGCAAAGTAACCAAAATGAAAGCTCAAGTGACCGAAATATTTTTCTCAGTTTGGCTATTTTAAACCTCATATTGAAATTTACATTGAATTCTCACATTAGTGAATAACCCTATATTATAGAAGGGGTGATATTTTACATGGAAATGATAGTGTAGAAACCCATACCCATATAAATTTAGGGGGAACAACGAGAGAGGATGAGTTGGCAACTTATTGTAATTTTAATTTAGAATCAGTTTTATAACCGGTATGCCCATTTTATGATTAATAATATCATTAGATTCCTTTTGGGTCTTTGAGTTATTTGCTAAACGAAGAGATTTTAATGGTATTAGTACCCACTGTAGCACATTGCAGTGTGTTTTTAACAGTGTTGAGAAATATAGTTTTCTATTAAGGGAACTGAATGTACTGTTATTACCAATAAGTCTGGGAATGTAGAGGTACAAGAATTATAGAATTCATTTATGTTTTGTGGGTGCTTGTATTAAGGGCATTTGGTGCCTCTATTAGCAAAAAGGGAACAAAGCATTCCTGTTGAATTGACATGGATAGCATTGGTGTAATATGACTGGACATCCCACTGGCATTTGACCAACTGGGTCAAAACCATTACCAGTGTCAAGATTGGCACTATACCTAATATTTACAATGACTTATTTAACACTCAGGGAATTAGAGATAATGTATCCTATAATTTCTCTGTCCTCTTCTGGCACACAATAGATGGGATGAAAGTTGTAGCAACAGTGGCTGCCCCCCCACTCTAAATCACAAACATACGCCATGCTACAAGTTGGGAATAATGTTTCAGATACCACTTAGCTATTAAGGAATTTTGATAATCCTTACATATTTTCCCACCCTCCCAGGGAGCCATGCTTAGTGTGAGGGATAGAAAAACACTTTTGCACTTTGATTGGCAGTACATGTGATTCATGCTTTCTTTAATATTTTGTAATATCATTTTTTAATTATTTTTTTTAATGTATTTTCCTGATCAACCAAGTTATATTAAATGTACTATTCCCCAATTGCCAATGCTTCAAGCTAATAATGGTAATCAAATACTTTGTGATTTTTATTGATTTATGATTAGTCTCAAAGACCATCAATTTTGTTTAAGATTTAATGCCTAAATTGACAAACCCCATTTTTTTTTTTAATGTTCTTCAAGCTTGGGTTAAAAGTTATAGTTCAGACACTATACATCCCATCCTTAAAAATATAAAAATAGTTCCTAGATTATGTTTCATACTTGTTTCTTCTGTATTTCTAGTGTAAGATTTGAGTAAAGAAATGTAGGAAATACAATAGGTATAAAAATACACATATTGCAAATAAAATATACAATTAAAACTGGTACATTAATAAATAATATTTTAATTGAAAAAAAATTATTTGTTGATATATTTGTATCCCTAGAATTTGAATACATTTTTTTTTTAGATTTATATGTTTATAAGAAAACTCACACAAGGAACATTACTATACTGTTGATAAATATCAATTTATTGAACAAAAAGTGTCATTACCATAGAAGGGGAAAAAAGAATACAAATTATTTATTATTTCCATCAATATCATATATAGATTATATAAAAGAAACAATATATGTATGTGTGTGTATATATATATATATATATATATATATATATATATATATATTTATATTTATATCTAAATAATAATACAAACTATACTTTTCTTCTCTTAGTATTAGTTTCAATGAGTAAAACTGAAATAATAAATCTTTCTGTTCACTTTTTTATGCTGTTTAACTTATTGTATATTTGAAAATGTTTTTGTATGATTTAGTAAAGTATATTATATTTTTAGAATTCAAACGTCTTTTGTGTGTTAGCATTCTATTTTCCTAAATATAATACTACAAAATAGATATAAAACTAGATATGATTAACAAATACAATTCTCTACTACCATAATAATTTTACATAATAATTTTTATATAACAATAACTGAATTGTCAACTTTAAATAGGCAGTTTATATGCTTAAATATTATATTCAGAATATAAACGTACAACATTCATGCTAAATTAACATTGTAAATATATATTTCTTTTAAATCCAGAAAATTATAGAATTTTGGAAAGCAGAATCTTCACAGGGAGGAGAAAGTGGGAGAGATTTTGCTGTTTAATAAAATAATACAATACACTGATTATTATGTTTTATGTAACCTACAATTTCTTAATCCATTTAAGATTTTTCTTGATGTAAAACTTCATATTATTATTTAATTAAATAATGTTATGAAAAAAAGGAAAAAAGAAAATATTACCTAATTGAAGTTTTGCCTAAAGCATTTTAATCCACATTTTATTGCAAATAGAAAGCATTAGAAGTTATTTCTATACCTGAAACATTATATAATGTTATCATTTATATGAAGATTGACAATGAAATGTTAAAATCAATATTGTTCTAGTAGGTGATATTATGTTTTTTTTTTTTTAATCAAATTCCCAGAATCTTTTTTTTTTTTTGCTACATTCTTTTCATTAAGTTAAAATAAAGTAAAATGAATTATTTTAGAATTCAAAATACTTTAAAACAAATATATGTCTTAATAATAAATTCTATCTTACTAGAGTAGCAGAAAGTACATATTTAAAAAACATTTTTATAATAATGAAATAGAAATGTTAAAAATTAACTTTTTAGCAATTGTGAATTTTTTTTGTACATAATTATTTGAAAAAGTAACTAATACAAGGATTTACATTTTATTTGATTTTTAAACATTAAATTCTGTTGAACAAAGTGTCTCCAAAAGCTATTTTTATTATATACTTGTAGATATTGAATATAATTTTTTTTCAATATAAATATGTTTATAAGATAATATTATAAGAGAATGCAGTTTATAAGATAATGCAGAATAACAAAGTGCAATGAACTGAGAAATATACTGATTTCCTTGGTACAATAAATAAAACAATATTTTAAAACATATTTACATAGAGTATTTCCACTATACTTAAATTAAATTAGCACTTGCTTGTCCAGTAATATAGTTATAGTGATAATTACATTTTTGTTTACTTCATTAAAACAGAATAACGTTATTTGTCTAAACTATCTATTTGTACCATTAAATTACAATAAACTGTTGATTTACTAATGAATAAATGAATAAACAAGCAGACAAATAAACAGTGTGATTCCTTGAACTGTAATGCAGCATATTGTATTATACCATAAAAATACTATCTATCTATCTATCTATCTATATATATATATATCATACTACTTGCTGTGTCTGTTTAACAAAATCATGGAATATGTATTTTGAAATGCAACAAAAACTAGTGCAATACAAAATATAGCATTAGTTTTTATTGGTTAACTTAACTTACCAGTGCCCTGTTGCATTAAAAATGCAAGTTGACAATGAAAGAGGTTGATATTCCAAATAAATTAGAAAATTCCTAATGACTTCATTAAACTTTACATACACAGTTGCCCCACGGTGATGCCTCTGCGTTATACAATATACACAGTTCCAGAAATAGCTTTTGATTGGCATTTCTAAATCATTTAGCTAACAGTCAATGCAGCAACTTTCCCCAACGCTCGAGAAGTAAAGTCGCTGCTGGCAGACTACCAGCGCTGCTCTACGGATTGTCACGTAGGAAGCGGCAATCTCCACCTCGAAGAATTAATCCAATTTGACTGTCTCGCCTACGCTGTTTAGCAAACATGCCCGCAAACAAAAACTGGATATGCATGTTGGTTTTGATTTTGCGAATTCATGTGAAAAATGCCCTGACTATGTCAAAAGAGGATGGAGACACCTTCACGGACTGTTGACTACGCCTCGGCAAAACTTTATAACAGTCCGAAAGACAGAGGGAAAAAAAAGAAAGAAAGAAACCATTGCGGGTACCTTAATAAGCATCACATCTGCGAGGTCATTGGGATATTTCAAACAACTTTCCACTCTCATTAGTTTGGCATTTTTCCCTGCAAGTCCTTATCTTTTGTAATTTTTGTAGTGAAACAGCTCTGAGAAAATTCCCTGAACCAATAACATTCCATGACTTTGGGTCAGTTTGACATAATGAGTCTTCAGTGTATATGTCCTTTGCTCTTGTATCCAACATATGTTTCCGTTAACCTCTCATGAGCTGGAACATCATCTTCTATCTGTCTAAAACTGCATATCTCATTATTTCTAATTAGGGTCTAAAAGCTGTTACTTTTATTCAGAAATCTAGCATTCCCAGGGCACTGAATAACTGCATCTTGCCTCAAAGATTTTTCCGTCTTCTTTCTCTTCCTTTATCTTTCATAACACTGCATGGAAGTACATTTCACTACTCAAACTCAAAAAAATATATATGGTTCTAAAGTCTGTTGATGACTTATTTTGGCATTTCATTCAAATTAATACATTATGTATTATTTAAATGTAATTCTTTTCGGAATATATTTTCATGCAATCAAAATAAACAGTGCTTATGGTCTTAGAATGAGCTAAAGATTTCACAAAGGAACACTCTTATTAAAAAAAAAAAAGCAAAATATTTTTCATTAAATGTTATCCTGTTTTACTTTATATAACAAGGCCCTCTTTGCTTTAATCCCTTAAGGACCAAACTTCTGGAATAAAAGGGAATCATGACATGTCACACATGTCATGTGTCCTTAAGAGGTTAAAATACTAAAAAATAATAATAGGAGAAAATTGCAATTAAACTTAACTTTATTTCAGTACTGGAGCAGTCTCTTCACTGCAGACTGATAACCCACTGATTACATCATCAATCTTGATTACTTTGTCAAATCAGATGCCACTCGTAAAAAAGTACAATGCATGTGCAGTGATAACTCTCCTCCAATCCACTGAGAAGTACAGCTTTTAGCCGCGGCATACATTGCATACCAACAATGGATGTAAAATAGATTCAAATAGTGAATCTATTTCAGTCCGATGCCCCTTGTAACTGTCTACTTGATAGCAACTAGTATGCATGAAAACTGCAAAATATATCCAGTGCCATTTCTCAGAAGGCTTCACGAGGAGTATCTATGTCCCCCAAATCACTTCATTAAGATGTGATTTTGGTACTTAGACTTTACCTTAAAAGAAGATTTGCAAGATAAATGCCGACATGTAGTAAAGTGATGATTGCATGTGACTGGAAATGTCTTAATATGTCAGAATTATTTTAAAATTGCTTTTTTTTTCTTATAAATTCTACATACTGACAGATATTGCTTTGAAATTGAATCAAATTATTGTCCTAATTTTTTATGTTTAAAGACACACACATAAACATACACACAGACATGCAGATATACATACAGGACACTCAGAAATTATTCAGACCCCTTAATTTATTTATTTTTTTAAATATGTTGCTGCCTCATGCTAAATTTTTTTTAACATCAATCTACACTCAATATCCTGTAATGATAAAGAAAAGAGAGACTGGCCAGGGTTGTGGGAAATTTGAACACATCAAAATACAGAGATATCCCTAATAAAATCTGATACATAGAGATTAGGACCTCAGACTGGGTGGAAGGTTCACATGCCAACAGGGCAATTACACTAAGCACACAGCCAAGACACACAAGAGAGACTTAGGGACAACAATTCTGAGTTAAAGGTAACCTATAGTGGGAAACAACACAGATAATGTAAATCAATAATAGGTTTCATGGGTTATTAGAAAAAAGTAAATAGAGTTGCCTGGTTAAAGACATCTATATTATATATGCCTTATTGTAAATTTAATACATTTACATATTTTTCATGTTCTTTCCTCTGGGTTTTCCTCTCCAGGGAATGTGTTCAAGATAAAAATCTTAAATCTTGTTTGCAACATTTGCTTGAAGGTTGATGCTGTAGGCTTTCTGGAAATTTGAATTTAGAATGACATTATAAGCAAGGGTGTAAATCATACTATTCATGTTAAGGATGGTATGTATCCTACATCTATAGACTGTAAGCTTGTATAAACAGGACCCTGTTAACATGTTGTTCTCAATGTCACCATTTGTTTTCCATAATTTACACATATATGTTTATTCAATGGACAGTTCTGCTCACGGCTGCCACCAGAACCATGTTGTGGGCCCCACTCGCACAAGCTGCAGATATGTGTAAACATACAAGCTTTCAGACACTGTCCCAGACACACTTTCCCAAACAAACACATGGACACACATTCACAAACACTCATACACACTGCAAGACACAGAAGGATACAAAATACAAAGATATAAAGGTGTATTGGCGCTACCAAAATACAAATATAGAATGACTGGTGTAGTGAAAAGTGTATCCCACAACACTTGAGAATAGATAATGAAGCAATAAAACAAACACTGCACCAGTCAGCGAAATGCAAATAACAGGATCAATATGGACCATGCTCTATACCAAGTCACGTGACAATACCAGGAAGCAGATGTACTTCCTGGTATTGTCACGTGACTTGGTGCAGAGCATGGTCCATATTGATCCTGTTATTTGCATTACGCTGACTGGTCCAGTATTTGTTTTATTACACAGAAGGATACACACAAATATAATATGCTAGACACAAACATTACCAGATATCTACTGCAACACAGATACACAAACACAGATAAACATTCAGATGCACATTGCCACACATACTCACACACACACACACACACACAGACCACACACCTATATACACACAATCACATACACTTAGATATGCACACACAATTACATATATTACTCACCCTTGTGATTTCTTATGTTTTTGCAAAAGGGGGATGGCTTCCCTGAGGTGGTCATAAACCCCAACACGCAGAGTGCAACCCTTTTTGAATAAATATAGAATGTATTACCGGATCTTAGAGTGACTGGGTTTAATGTGGCTAAATAAGAATAGTCAGGAAATAGCCAAACATCAAGGGAACCAGAAAATGGGAGAATGCTTGGCAAATAGCCGAGTCAAGGGTTAGCAGAGGACACAAGAGTCAATAAAGAAGCTGAGTCAAAAACCAAATATAACACAGAGGGACACAGTAAGCATTATTGGTACCATAATAGGAACAACGATAGGGCACTGAGTAATGCATAAAAGTCACACCCCAAAATGTTAGAGGGTGGTGAAAATGATGCAAATCTACCTCATTTTCATAATGAACTTGACACGCATACGTTGCATCATAAAGAGAGGCATGGGTTGAAGTGTACGGTTGTTGGAATTGGAGAACGCCTTGGGCAAGGAGCATTCAATTATGAGTAATTGTGACACTCCCAGATCATGTGTGGCTCTGTGTGCTCTAGGAAGATGTGACATGAAAGGATATTCAATGATACTGAATTTCCGAATCTGATAACAGCAAAGGAAAGTACATGATAGATTTTCAAAAAAATTAGAAAATCAGTTATGTTCAATTGGACATTTATTGGCTCCTCAAGCATTTTACAGAGGTAAATAAATCAATTCACACCAATTAAAGGCTTATCGAGACCAGATGAACAGATACATCTGACCTGCTGAAATGTAATTGAGACCTATGTGCTACAAAGGAATGTGTAAGACAAGGTGCAGATATATCAGTAAAAAAAACTACATAAAAAAACAAGATAACAGAAAATCATGCCCAAATGGACAGATGCCAATTGGATTTTTATAAACTTATCCTCATATTCGCTAAAAAGGACACTATATGCACCAAAATAACTTTAGCTTAAGGTAGTGGTTTTGGTGTATAGATCATGTTACTGTAGTTTCACTGCCCAATTCACTGCCATTCTAAATTTAAATCACTTTGTTTATGCATACTTAGTAACACCTCCTTGTATGTGACTTGCACAGCCTTCCTAAACACTTTCGCTTGTGCATTTGGTTTTGAATGAATTGTGATTTGTCTGAATTTTGAATGATCAATTATATGTCTCAAATACAAAAACTCTGGTGCACTATATACACGAATCACAACATGGACAATGGATGAACCATTTAGTTTGTTTTGTGATTCAGAGTTTCATCCATGGAGCCAAAAAATAAGATGATCGATGGAAAAACAGATGATTGATAGTAAGCATTCAGTTACTAATTTCATGGATCAAGAGAGAAGTGACCACTAAAATAAAATCTACATTTGTATATTATACAGTGAGGGGAAAAAAGTATTTGATCCCCTGCTGATTTTGAATGTTTGCCCACAGACAAAGAAATGATCAGTCTGTAATTTTAATGGTAGGTGAATTTCAACAGTGAGAGACAGAATAACAAAACAATACCCAGAAAAACCCATGTAAAAAAGTTATAAATTGATTTGCATGTCAATGAGTGAAATAAGTATTTGACCCCTTCGACTTAGTCCTTGGGGAAAAAACCCATGTTGGCAATCACAGAGGTCAGATGTTTCTTGTAGTTGACCACCAGGTTTGCACACATCTCAGGAGGGATTTTGTCCCACTCCTCTTTGCAGATCATTAAGGTTTCAAGGCTGATGTTTGGCAACTCGAACCTTCAGCTCCCTCCACAGATTTTCTATGGGATTAAGGTCTGGAGACTGGCTAGGCCACTCCAGGACCTTAATGTGCTTCTTCTTGAGCCACTACTTTGTTGCCTTGGCTGTGTGTTTTGGGTCATTGTCATTCTCCACAACCCATTTTCAATGCCCTGACTGAGAGAAGAAGGTTGTCACCCAGGATTTGAGGGTGCATGCCCCCGTCCATCGTCCCTTTGATGTGGTACAGTTGCCCTGTACCCTTAGCAAAAAATAAAAAAAAAACCAAAGCAAAATGTTTCCACCTCCATGTTTGATGGTGGGGATGGTGTTCTTGGGTTCATAGGCAGCATTCCTCCTCCTTCAAACACAACAAGTTGAGTTGATGCCAAAGAGCTCGATTTTGGTCTCATATGACCACAACACTTTCACGCAGTTCTCCTGTGAAACATTCAGATGTTCATTGGCAAACTTCAGAAATGCTTGTACAGGGGGACCTTGCGGCGCTGCAGGATTTCAGTCCTTCATGGTGTAGTGTGTTACCGATTGTTTCTTGGTGACTATGGTCCCTGCTGCCTTGAGATCATTAACAAAATCCTCCTGTGTAGTTCTGGGCTGAATCCTCAACGTTCTCATAATCATTGAAACAAGGGAGACTGACAGTTATTTTGTGTTTCTTCCATTTGCGAATAATCGCAGCAACTGTTTTCACCTTCTCACCAAGCTGCTTGGTGACGGTCTTGTAGCCCATTCCAGCTTTGTGTAGGTCTACAGTTGTGTCCCTGACATCCTTGGACAGCTCTTTGGTCTTCACCAAGGTGGAGGGTTTGGAATCTGATTGATTGCTTCTGTGGACAGGTGTCTTTTATACAGGTAATGAGCTGAGATTAGGAGCACTCCCTTTAAGAGAGTGCTCCTAATCTCAGCGCGTTACCTGTATAAAAAAATAACTTGGGAGCCAGAAATCTTGCTTATTGATACGTGATCAAATATTTCACTCATTGACATGCAAATCAATTTAAAACTTTTTTGACATGCATTTTTCTGGATTATTTTTTTTTGTTATTCTGTCTCTCACTGTTAAATAAATAAATAAATAATATATATATATATATATATAAAATATACCATTAAATTTATAGACTGGTCATTTCTTTGTCAGTGGACAAACGTTCAAAATCAGCAGGGGATCAAATACTTTTCCCCCTCACTATATATTTAATAAATATATAAATATATATAGCTTTTTTTACTGCTCCTCTTTTTTTCCTTTTTTGGTTACTGCTTCTCAATTGATCAGTGAACCAAATGGCTGGAAAATGCACATATCAGTGTACTGCAAAATATACACATAATATTCATATATTGTTGTTAGGAAAATAATATTCTTAGCAAACTATTTAAATAAAGCCATGTTTACAAGCAGTAATTGGAATGAAACTTCAGGAAACCATAGACGTTCAGTGTAATCTCACCCTCTTGCTTTGTAATACTGGCGCTTTCATGCTTATATCACTGAGATTTTTCAGTTCCCACTCCTCTGGCAATCATAATAATACAAAATAAATGAACACTGATAAACCTTTGTGGGTCCTCCATTTATGAAAGGATTTCTTCTGGAACACTAAAAGAGTCATTACCTGGACTCACATCTTCAAGTCACAAAAAATATAGGATATTGTAAACATTTTCCTATTCCCCATAGTCATCATTCAGTTTGGACTTCCCAAATGTATCCTCCAATCATGAGTCATTCCCTCTCTATACAACACATCAATCTTCCAATCATTCAGCTTTTATTCTTGTTCACATGTATTATCAATAAACTGCAATCTTTAAGTTTGGATTCCAATATTATTGAATGGGTAAGGCAGTGGCTGAGTGACAGGCAACAGAGGGTTGTAGTTAATGGAATATATTCGAAGCTTGGACTTGTCACCAGTGGGGTACCTCAAGGATCTGTACTTGGACCCATTCTCTTTAATATTTTTATTAGTGATATTGCAGAAGGTCTTGATGGTAAGGTATGTCTTTTTGCTGATGATACTAAGATATGTAACAGGGTTGATGTTCCAGGAGGGATAAGCCAAATGGCAAATGATTTAGGTAAACTAGAAAAATGGTCAGAATTGTGGCAACTGACATTCAATGTGGATAAGTGCAAGATAATGCATCTTGGACGTAAAAACCCAAGGGCAGAGTACAGAATATTTGATAGAGTCCTAACCTCAACATCTGAGGAAAGGGATTTAGGGGTGATTATTTCTGATGACTTAAAGGTAGGCAGACAATGTAATAGAGCAGCAGGAAATGCTAGCAGAATGCTTGGTTGTATAGGGAGAGGTATTAGCAGTAGAAAGAGGGAAGTGCTCATGCCATTGTACAGAACACTGGTGAGACCTCACTTGGAGTATTGTACACAGTACTGGAGACCGTATCTTCAAAAGGATATTGATACCTTAGAGAGGGTTCAGAGAAGGGCTACTAAACTGGTTCATGGATTGCGGGATAAAACTTACCAGGAAAGGTTAAAGGATCTTAACATGTATAGCTTGGAGGAAAGACGAGACAGGGGGGATATGATAGAAACATTTAAATATATAAAGGGAATCAACACAGTAAAGGAGGAGACTATATTTAAAAGAAGAAAAACTACCACAACAAGAGGACATAGTCTTAAATTAGAGGGACAAAGGTTTAAAAATAATATCATTAAGTATTACTTTACTGAGAGGGTAGTGGATGCATGGAATAGCCTTCTAGCTGAAGTGGTAGAGGTTAACACAGTAAAGGAGTTTAAGCATGTGTGGGATAGGCATAAGACTATCCTAACTATAAGATAAGGCCAGGGACTAATGAAAGTATTTAGAAAATTGGGCAGACTAGATGGGCCGAATGGTTCTTATCTGCCATCACATTCTATGTTTCTATGTTTCTATTATATCCAATATTCAAGTATTGCTTCTGATATAAGGAAGAGAACAAATTAATGAAAGTTTGTGTTTTAATATGTATTGTTAGTCCAATGTATAAATACAAGATAGAAAGATAGGTAGATGGGTAGATGGGTAGGTGGGTAGATGATAAATGGACAGGCAGAGAAATAGATTCATTTGATGAGTCCTAGTAACAAAAGATCTAAGGGCACATAAGGTCATTGAGTGGGGAATTAACACATGATCATGCACAGAATTAAACCCATCAGAGTATAGGGTATTTAAACACATGAATATCTGCAGTTGGCACTGCCACTTGTAAATGTGTACGTGATTTTTAGCATACAAAAGAGAAGAACAAAGCAGGGCTTACTTGTAATCCAAAGTGTCTCATCAACTCAGCCCTAGCTCAGAAATTTGTTGGCAACCAAATAATTCTAAATTCAGAGATGTGCAAATACCCTTAAAGGGCTCTGAGCACAATGCCACTAAATCAGCGCAATGATTTGGTTATATGTAACAATCACGTCACAGAGAAACAGTTTTTAGTACTCAGAAAATAATCAAGTTCCAGTTTTATTTCACAAATGGGTCACTATTTTCTTGTAATTCAACAAGCATTCTGAGATTTTAGTTCACCTTTAACTTCTGTATTCCCATTGGCAGATCAATTAGGAAGCATATTAACTAGATATCAGCAGCCATTATTAATTGTCTTGGATATTCATTTTGGAGGAAACAGCAATGTGGCTGGATTCATGGCAATAGAGTAATCGGAAGGATTTCCGATTTCTGAAATAAACACGCCAGCTGTCAGGGGAACCGACTTGAGTCAGAACATGATCATTTTTCTTTGTGATTCGGAGTGCTATTCCTTGCACCAGAAAACAAGAGGAATGGAATAGAAAAGAGGCTGTTTTTTTTATTTTTTTATTTCAGATGAAGCAAATAAGCAGCTTAGTTTCCCATGATGCACAAGAGGTCTGGGATATCCTATCCATTTAAGAGGTAGCAAAACAAACATTCCTGATGGTTAAGGGACAGCCACTAAATGTAGATTTTTTTAATCAAACATATTTTATTGAAATGACAGCATAATACACATAACAAACGTGACCATTATACTGCAGAACAGAGAGAGAATTATAGAAATAATTTGCATTTCCCAAAAAGAAAACAGATGGGATATGCTCCCTGGTATAGAAAGTAAAGCAGAAAGTAACCTTATAATGCATAACTAGTACTAGTAAAATCTCCTTGTGTTATGCTCACTTTCTGGTGAACTCTATTAAACTCCTTCCCATCATATCCCTTCTTCTCAAAATGTTCTTTCACCTGTGCTACCTGGTTACAAAACACATCTAAGTCTGTACAATTCCTTCCAATTCAAAGGAATTGGGACTTTGGAAGGTTCATAAGCCAAGAGGAAGGAATGGCAGTTATTTAATTGTATATAATTTTTTTTTTCAATTTGACAATTTTTATTGGTTATAAACTTAGGGTACAGGAAGGAAAAGGGGGAGGGGGAAAACGTAAAAGCATACTTTCCATTTTGACATTTCCACTGGATTTATCGACAGGTTCACATTTACTGTATTATATACAGTTTCAATCACATCAACAGGAGTCACCTGATAACCAACCTTCAATTTATTGTGCGTTCATCACGGGCCCCAAATTTCAGGACCAGCGCGAAAGGCACAGATCAGAAGAATATTTACAGCATCAATCATTAATCAACTAGTTTCCTCTATAACCTGTCCGGGTAACCTATTAATTTGAAACTGTGGTTTAGGTCTCGTGTTGTGTGTCCCTTACGTGTTCTCGTTCGTAGAACTTTCATTGTTTTTGGAACTTGGTAACCTGTGCTACTTCCGTCATTAGTGATTTACAGTGGCTTTCTCGGTAATGGTACAGGGGGGTGGAATCAAGGAAGAAGAAAGAGGAGAGGGAGAAGGGGGGTGTGGATGGGTGCGAGTTTTGCAGATTTGCTGGTATGTAGTAGCAGGGAACTACAGACGTTGGTTGTCTTCTGCCACCATCCTTCTGTTAGTTTGTCAGTGCCTATCTGTCCTGTGTGGTATGGGTGTCTTAGGTGAGCTATAGATGGCAAATTACCATCACTATGGCTTTTTTTTTTGTTCCTGTCTTCTGTCATTCCGTCCTGTCTTTCAAAGAGACATCTCGGGACTATGATATTATGTCTAGGCTCCACAGTGTAGCGGTATAGGTTTCCCACTGAGTTTTGACTGTCTGAAAAAGTGGTAGGGTTCTGTGGTGTTTTCTGGCCATGTGTTCGTACGCTAAATTTGTAGATATTTGTCATATCAATGCTTGTTTTGACGGTGCATCTGGAGATTTCCTGGCTCTAGCAAGTAGAGACTGGGCCGCCACCAGAACACGGAATATAAAGATTGCCTCTCCTTTATGGAATTTATCAATGTTCAGGAGTAAGAGGCTCAATTCTGGCGTAAGTGTGATATCGTGGTGTGTGGCCTGTGATAGTTGCATATAATTTTTTACATCAACATACTTAAAATAATTTTTTGTTTTTATTATTTTACCTTTAATATAAATATTGAGATCCAATAAGTTGACTTCTTTTTTTCTATATTAATTGTTAGTTTTATGTCCAGTTAATTAGTATTCATATATTTAACAAATTCAACTGACTTTTGTGCCTCTCCAAATAAAAAAAATAATGTCTATATAACGGCCATAGTTAACCAGGCTCTTAACCCACACATGTTTCTGGTTGATCTTATGGTTTTCCTTTACCATAAATTATGTTTATTATATAGTGTTACAGTATCTAAAATCATTTGGTTAAGGCAAAGTATAAAGTGCCCAAACAACAAGAGATATACTGGATTATTTGCATATGTAACATGGCTACAATGGTTGTCTTATCTCTTTCTTTTTATTATGTTTCTGGGTTTCAATGAGTCAGTAACTATGACGACGAATCAACATTGGACTTTTTGTTCGCATCGGAGACTCGTACTGACATGCTGCTACAGAATGGGGTACGTCACTTCTGCATCTTTGTTAGGGCTGGGTAAGAATACCTGCCCATAGTAACTAATGATTGGAAGATTGCTGTCACATGGTAAGAAGGGGCTTTGCTCCTGTGGTTTCAAATTCCATGGCTTGGAGTTATAGAATGGTGATTGAGGAAGTCCATTGGAGTGAAACGAGTTTCCAGAGGATTAGATGGGCTCTTTCTTATTTTATTACTGTTTTACCAATAAATATAGTATTTTTATTTTGACTTAGTTTGTGGTTTCTGGACTCTGTACACTTAAAGGGACACTCCAGTGCCAGGAAAACAAATTGTTTTCCTGGCACTGCATGTCCCTCTCCCTCCCAAACCCCTTCAGTGACTTACCTGAGACCACCGCCGATGTCCCTCTGCTGTGGTTCAGGGTCCTCCCTCGCCGACATCAGCTGGCGGGGGAGACCGATTGCGCATGCGCGGCCGCTGGCGGGGTGAGACCTAATGTGCATGAGCGGCAATGCCATGTATACGCATTAGACCTCCCCATAGGAAAGCATTGAAAATGCTTTCAATGCTTTCCTATGGGGATTTTAGCGATGCTGGAGGTCCTCACATAGCGTGAGAACGTCCAGCGACGCTATAGCACAGAAAACCTGTGCTATAGACCAGGAAGTGCCCTCTAGTGGCTGTCTAGTAGACAGCCACTAGAGGAGTAGTTAACCCTGCAATGTAATTATTGCAGTTTATGAAAACTGCAATATTTACAGTTGCAGGGTAAAGGGTAGTGGGAGTTGGCACCCAGACCACTCCAATGGGCAAATATGGTCTGGGTGCCTGGAGTGTCCCTTTAAGCTGAGTATATCTGCAAAGAAGGGAGGTGTTGGCCTAATTTGCAGTCACCACATAACCCATGAATATAGGGGGAAGTCTATTATATGAATATGGAATTAGCCTTGCAACCATTCTCCAATGGAACAGCTAGCTCAGAGAACCTTTCTTCATGTGGTATGCAATTAACCTTAAGTTAAAGTTTGCATAAAACCTTTATTAGACTTTTCCCAGTGCCTGATGGGTCTTTACTGTACGAATAAAGTAAGTATTGTTACAGATTATTATAGACAGGATTCTTGGGCCTGATGAATATGATGCACCTAATCCTAAAAGAAGGAACCCTGCAGTAAATCCTTCTAAAACAACTTTTATATTAATTTAATTTACTGAGACAATAAAAATAAAAGTTTATGTAAGTCTTTTTTTTTTTTTTTTAAATTAATGTTTCCTATATTCATAATTATATTCCCTGGAGACATTAAAGCTCTTAGCTCATAATCACACTGGTTATGGAAAAATTTCTTTTTATATTTTAATGTGTTACATGAATTATGAGTTGTTTAAGAACCTGGTGAAACTTCAGACAAAATCAAGATGTAACAAGCGCTTATCAAGATGAGATGATATTACAATGCCTGGAGGGTTTTCTTTGCGTCGGATATAAATATATATCACTAGACAAAGTTTGCCGTTCACACTTTCCATATATTATGAAGTTTGTTAAAGTATGTTATTTGCAATTCTACACTCAAACACTATACAAAGGATTAATATTAAAAACTCTTACAAAACATTGTATCTGCTTTTATCTATTCTCCTTGTAACTATTCTGCAAAAGTTTCTTCCTGACTATAACACACACGTGAAATTACTTAAAGGGACACTATAGTCACCAAAACAACTACAGCTTATTGAATTTGTTCTGATGAGTAGAATCATTCCCTTCAGGCTTTTTGCTATAAACACTGTATTTTCAGAGAAAATGCAGTGTTTACATTATAGCCTAGTGATAACTCCACTGGCCACTCCTCAGATGGCTATTAGAGATCCTTCCTGGGTCATGGCTGCCTAAAACGCATCCAAACATTCAGTGTCTCCTCCCTCTGCATGCAGACACTGAACTTTGCTCATAGAGATTCATTGATTCCATTCATCTCCATGAGGAGATGCTGATTCTTCAGGGCTGTGTTTGAATCATGCTGGCTCTGCCCCTGATCTGCCTCTTTGTCAGTCTCAGCCAATCCTATGGAGAAGCACTGTGATTGGATTAGGCCACCACTTCTGATGATGTCAGCAGACTGCTTGTTTTTCTGAGTCAAACAGCATGCAGATTTACAGCTTCTTGGCTTGAATACAGTAAGATTTTGCTATATTTATGGAGGCATGAGGGACCCAGGGGGGCTAGATGGTGGTGTTAACACTATAGGGTCAGGAATACATGTTTGTGTTCCTGACCCTATAGTGATCCTTTAACACTAGCTTTAGATTCTCAGACAGGTGCATTTAGGGTGTTTTAAAAGTCAATTGTTATACTTTGTTTCCCATCTTTGGGCACACTCTATTCTCTTTTCTAGTGGGTAGCATATGGTTAACATTGGAAGAGTTGTTTAACGTAACACCCTGAGGACCAAAACCACTATGGCGTGCTGTAGTGGTTTGATGACAGGAGTGTCCTGGTGTTCCCCCCTTATAACTAGTCAAAACATTTTAGAACGTTTTGAATTCTTACCGGGAGTCTGTTTGGCATCACTCCCCACCTGCACTGCTGACAATAGCGAGCTAGAAGCTTAGGGCTTGGCTCATTGGCTGAAATTGATCAGCTGACACTCCAGCCAACTAGCTAGCCTTGTATTACTAACGAATGCTCCTCCTTCTGGAAACTGAATAAACTATGGAAATAAATTGAATAAAACAATGAAAATCGTTTATAACTTCTATTGTTATGGTTTACATTTTTTTTTTTTTATAGCAAATTACATTACTGAAAATAGCACCTATGACGCACTAAAAATTGCTCTCCTTGCAGCCCCTGTCCAAACATTTGACAGCCATCTTTTAGATAACTCTACTAAAAAAACATCTCAAGAATACAAGCTGTATGTGTGTGTGCTGGCTGTATGTGATCTGATGTGTGCCAGCTGTATGTGATGTGATGTGTGCTGGCTGTATGTTGTGTGTGTGCAGTGGCGGCTCTAGACTTTATGAGGCCTTAGGCGAAACTCAAACAAGAGGCCCCCACTAACACTCATAGTAAAAAAAAAAACATATATGGGTTGCATCGTGTGTATAATGAGCTGTTGTTATAATGTACGGCAGGCTTGCAGCGCTGGATACAGAGAGCTAGTCTCTGTATTCACTGTTGGGGTGAGTGTGGCACGGTTGAAGGAGAAAGTGTGACAGGGCGAGGGGAGGTGAGAGTGACAGGATGAGGGAGGGTTATGTGACAGGGTGAGTGTGGCGTGGCTTGGCAGGATGAGTGACAGGATAGAAGTTAATGTGATAGGGTGAAGAGGGATGAGTTTGACAGGGTTATGGGTTATGTGTTGCACGGCTGGAGGAGGGAGTGTGACGAGGCAAGGGAAAGTGAGTCAGACAGGATTATGTGACAGGGTGAGTGTGGCATGGTTGGGCCCAATTGGAAGGGTTAATGTGAAAAAGGATGAGTGTGACAGGGTTGGGGGTGAGTGTGACAGTATGAGAGAAGATGAGTGTGATAGGATTAGGGGGATTAATGTGATAGGGTGAGTGTAGAAGAGCGAGGGCCGGTAATTGTGGTATGGATGGAGAGGGTGAGAGCGACAAGATTAGGAGAGGTTAATGTGATCAAGGCTAGGTGAAGAGGGCATGACAGCATGTGGGGGGTGACAGTGTGGGGGGTGGCTGTATGTGTGTGGAATTGTGACATGGGTAGATGAGAGTGTGGGAGGCTATGTTGGAAAGGGTGACAGTGTGTGCAGGGGCAGTGTGTGGGAGGGGTGACTGTATGTATTGGTGACAGTGTTGGGGGCTGACAATATGGGGTGCAAGTGTGTGAAAGGGTAACCGGGTGAGAGAGCAGTGTGGAGAAATGTGACAGTTTTGGGGGCAGGGTGTGAGTGGGTGACAGTGAGGAGGAAGATGACAGTGTGGGGTAGCAGTGTGGAGGATGGTGACAGTGTGGGGGACAATGTGTGACAGTGTGGGGGGACAGGGTGTGTTACAGTGTGGGAGGGCAAGGTGTGTGGGACACAGTGTAGTGAGGGCAGGGTGTGTGACAGCATGAGGGGACAGGGTGTGTTACAGTGTGGGAGGGCAAGGTGTGTGGGACACAGTGTAGTGAGGGCAGGGTGTGTGACAGCATGAGGGGGCAGTCTGTATGACAGTGTAGGAGGGCAGGGTGTGTGACTGTGTGGGTGGCAGTGTGTGGGAGACAGTGTGGGGCATTTTGTGTGATAGACTGTGTGGGGGTAGAGTGTGTGGGAGACAGTGTAGGGGGCAGGTTATGTGGTGGTCATTGTGGGGGTCAGGGTATGTGGTGGTCAATGTGGGGGACAGTGTCTATGGTGGTTAGTGTGTTTTTATTGCAGGGCCGGCGCTACCTGTAAGATGGACTAGGCAGCCGCCTAGGAGCGCCGGCCCCCCTCATGCTGCAGCCGCCCGAGCGCTCTGCAGAGAGCCTCAGGCGGCTGCAGCTTTTCCCGGGCGGTGCGTCCATGAGGGCGGACCACACCGCCCGGTTGCAGCCTGAGGAGAGGGGCTGACAGGAGGGAAGCGCTCAGCGCTCCCTCCTGTCACTCCCTCTGTAGTAGCGTGGCCGAGCCCAGTATAGTCGGCGGGTATAGGGAGCAGCTGTCTCCTGTACCCGGCTGGACTAACAGGAAGTGCACACTGAGTGTTCACTTCCTGTTAGTCCGGCCGGGTACAGGAAACAAAAGCTCCCTGTACCCGCGTACTATACTGGGCTTGGCCACGCTATAACACAGGTAGGGGAGGAGGGGGAAGAAAGAGGGAGGGAGGGAGGGAGGAGAACGAAACAGGGAGGGAGGGGAAAGAAAGAAACAGGGAGGGAGGGGAGGGGGTGAAAGAGGGAGGAGGGGAGAAGGGAAACAGGGAGGGAGGGGAAAGAAAGAGGAGGGAGGGGGGGAAGAAAGAGGGAGGGAGGGGGAGAAGAAAGAGGGAGGAGGGGGGGAGAAGAAAAAGGGAGGGAGGGGAAAGAAAGAAACAGGGAGGGGGAAGAAAGAAACTGACAGGGGAGGGGAGGAGAAAGAAACTAACAGGGAGGTGGGGGGAAAGAAACTAACAGGGAGGTGGGGGGTAAGAAACTAACAGGGGGGAAGAAACTAACAGGGAGGGGGGAAAGAAACCAACAGGGAGGTGGGGGGAAGAAACTAACAGGGGGAAGAAATCAACAGGAGGGGGGGGCAAACTAACAGGGAGGTGGGGAAAGAAACTAACAGGGGAGGAACTAACAGGAGGGGGAGACATTGACAGGGAGGGGAATTGACGGGAGAGAGAAATTGGACAGGGAGGGGGGAGTGACAGGGGAGGGAGGGGGAATGAGAGTAACAAGGGAGGGGGAGAAGAGAGTGACAAGGGAGGGGGGAGAGATTGACATCCATCACACACACACAATCACACACAATGCACCCCTTACACACAAAGACAATGAACCCCTTGCACACAGAAAAACACACAATGCATTACACACACAATGCATTACACATACACACACACGCAATGCAACCCTTACACACAATGCATCCCTTACACACACAGAAACACACAATGCACCCCTTAAACACACTCAAAGCACCCCTTACAGACTCACACACTTCATCCCTTACATCCCTTACACATACAAACACAGATTCACACAATGCATTCCTTACACACAAATCAGGACATCCCCTACACACTCCACCCCCTGTGAACAAACTCATTGGTGGAACATGAAGGTGGACCCTGGGACCCAGACCTTGAGCTGTGTAAAGGGCCCCCCAAAAATGGAGCTGCTTCTCATTCTCCCAGAACATCGATTTTTGTGACCACAGTTACAAACAGCCTCCAGAGATCCTGTTATACACCAGACCAGTGGAGCCAGACTGCAGCTAGAGCCCATCATCATCCTCATCTGCTTGTAAGTAGGTAATCTAGTATATTATTCGTGGCACTAATCTCTAATTTACCTCACATTAAAGAAACACTATAGTCCCCAGAACCACTGCAGCTTAATGTAGTGGTCCTGGTGTCTATAGCCTGTCCCTGCAGGCCTTTTAATGTAAACACAGCGGCACTGCAGCACTGCAGCACTAGCGTTAGTTAACATGGCAGGTCATATGGGTGGGGCATTGTGATGTCACGGGGGAGGGGGGGCGACAAACTTTACTTTTGCCTAGGGCGGCAAAAATCCTTGCACCGGCCCTGTTTTATTGTTAGTTTTTCTTGTTAATGAAAGTAAGCAAAACACTTGAAAGATTAAAAGCAACTTTCTACTACAGAGGCAATAGAGCGGACAGATTGCTAACCAATAGACTTAAGAAAGAAATTAAGCAAAACATTTTTTCCAAAATCATATACAGAGGAGAGACTTGCTTATCTCCAGAAAGAATAGGAAAGGCTTTTAATGATTACTATCATTCATTATATAATTTACCTTATAATCAATCTGACCCAGCGGATTACTTTAAAAATAAAATAATTCCAAAGATTTCAGAATCTCAACTGAAAGAACTGAATGCCCCAATCTCCCTACAAGAAATATGTAAACGGATAGAGACCTTGAAGCCAAATAAAGTGCCAGGACCAGATGGATATACAGGGACCTTCAATAGAATATTCAAAAAAGAAATATCACCACATCTAGAGACTACTTTTAATGAATTTATACTAAAAACTAAAATCCCACAGGAAATGCTCAGGGGCAATATTGTCCCAATATTAAAACCGGATAAGAACCCAGAGAAAGTAGATAGCTATCAGCCAATTTTAAATGTAGATATCAAGTTATATGCTGGAATATTGGCTGAGTCAAACAAATAGTCACACACATAATACATAGAGACCAGGTGGGATTCATTCCAGGACGACTTTCCATTAACCAAATAAGAAACATGATAGAGATAATGGAACAGGCAAGAGAGGAATGTATACCCATGCTGACCCTGGGATTAGATGCAGAAAAAGCATTCGACAGGGTCAGCTGGGCTTTTGTCAGAGAGTCATTAGTATCATTTGGATTCTCAGGTGAGATACTTAGTGCAATAATGGCACTATATAGTGATCCTCAAGGAAGAATAGTAGGACCTGGAATTAAGTCCAAATGGTTTGGAATCTCTAATGGTACACGCCAGGGCTGCCCCTTATCACCATTACTGTATATTTTAACGATTGAACCCTTGGCAGTAGATATAAGATCTAATAAAGGCATAAAAGGGTTTGGAGAAAATAATAACCAAAAAATCAAACTATACGCTGATGATGTATTGATAACCATCCAGAAACCAGAATACTCCATTGAACAAGTGGTTGACACCATCAGAAATTACAGCATTTTTTCTAATTATAAGATAAATAATGAAAAATCCACAGCGTTATGTTTAAACACATCCCAAAATAATATCGATAGTATAGAAAGTAATTATGGATTTAAACAAGTCAAAAGCCACTTTAAATATCTTGGAATAAAAATTTTAAAAAATCCAAAGAAATGGCTAGAGAATAATATTCCACCTTTAATTAAAGAAACAAATTTTTAACTTGAAGAAATGGAAAACTCAGGAAATTTCCTGGTCAGGCAAAATAAATACATTAAAAGCATATATAGTTCCAAAATTCTCGAATATTATGAGAATGATTCCTATGAAAATCCCAGATAGCTGGTTAGAACTAATTCAAACATCATTTACTAAATTTATCTGGGTAGTTCAAAAACCTAGAATTAAAAAAGAAATTATGTCCAGAAAAAAAGATGAAGGAGGTATGGGTATTCCAATTATCAAAGACATTGCACAAGCTAATCTATTAGCGCATGTCTTAGTGATAAATAAGGAAGACTCAGCAAATGAAGACTGGTATAAAATTGAAAAGATAATGACCTCGGGAGATAGGGACTACAAAACTCTTCTATGGGCAATGTATAAAGAAACAAATCATTGCATTAAAAATTCTAAATCGTTGATAGTCCAACCAATTTTTCCCACCTGGTCTCTATTAAAAAAAAAATTGGTTTAAAAAAGAAGATAATTCCAGGCATAAATCTAAACATATTGGCAGAAATAATGACAGACATAAATTTAGAAATATGGATTACGCGAGGTATAAAAACAATATCTAACCTTTTATTAGGAAATAGAGTAAAATCATATGATCAACTACAATCTGAATATAACATATCTCTTAATGATTGGCTTAAATATATTAGGGTAAAATTCTTTCTGTCTACATATCTAAGATTTAACCCTCTGGAACCACCAGTTAAGCTTCTATCAGACTTATTTGAGCAGACAGATTATACTTTGGTTAATAAATGCCAAAAAATAATTTATAAGACTCAGAGAAAATCAATTCCCCGGGCAATTATTAAATGGAATTATGATCTTACCAAAGATATCACTATGAAAGAATGGAATAACTCCCTTAATACGTTATACAAAGTCTGTCATTGTTTAAATATACATGAAACTCATTATAAAATATTAAATAGATGGTACAATACTCCCCATAAAATGTAAAAATGTATCCTACAACCCCACTTAACTGCTGGAGATGCAATGAAAGGATTGCAGACTTCAAACATATCTGGTGGGACTGTGCAAAAATTCGATGTAGTTCAAAAACATTGAGCTGATTTTGAGTATGGCTCTACTTCATATGGATATGACGGGCATTGATAAAGAATTTAGACCCATTATTTTACATATCTAAATGGCTGTTAAAACCTCAATAGCTAGGAATTGGAAATCCTCAAAGGTAGATAACTGGGCTGAGATACATGCTCAAAGTATTATCCAATGTAAAATGGAAAGGGCTATTATTAATTTTGCATTAAATAAGGGATCTCAATACACATACTGGGATAAATGGATTTAAAAAATGGAATCTAGATAGGGAGGCTCCCCTCTTGTCGGAATTTTTCTGTGTTATATGTATATATGTATTTTTTGTCGCACCACAAGCCGAGCAAATGTTTTATGTATGTGTGTCATTTAGTTCGTTAGTTCATTACGTATTTGAAAGTATTTTTTGTAATAGTGTTAAGATAAAATTTAAAGAAAGAAATAGAAATTAACCAGATAAGGACAGATAGAGAAAGAGAAAATGAATAATACATATGATGATTTGGTATTAGATGACTCTATCTATGACTCTGCAAGAAATAACTAATACCATATTCTGATGTAAAAAAAATAATAATAAAAAATAAAAATAAATAAATAATAAACAAATTGCATGTTATTAAGTTCACAATGCATCAAAGTGTCACACTTTATGTACAACTGTTAAAGCAAAGGATAAGTAAATCATGTGGCTCCATAAATTGTTTGACTTTCTCTTGCAAAACTATGTATTAACTGACAACTGTATACTCAAATAACTTGTAAACAAATATATAGAGACAAACTCATTAGAGTGCAATGTTAGAAACATATATCTCAATTGGAAACTGTTTATTTTTTAAGTTTAATATCTTTAAATGGTGACTTGAAGCCCATTGTAGTAACAAATACATACTACTGAGCTGACTGAGTTATGTTTTCTAAGGTTTTACTGATGTGGAAAACTTGTTTAATTTTGTGAACCATTCACTGTATTTTTAGTATGTTGATTTGTTCTCTGCAGATGTGTTTATTCTTATAGGGACACTATAACCACCAAAACAACTTTAGCTTAATGCAGTAGTTTAATGTACAAATTAATCCCCATGCAGTCTCACTGCTCAATTCTCTGCCATTTAGGAGTTAAATTACTTTGTTTATACAGCCACAGTTAAACCTTCCTGCATGTGAATGCCGCCCTATGAAGTATGTGCGCATGTACGGCGAAGCCGTTCATGCGCACAAGGGAGCAATGACGCTTCCAAATGGAAGCGTCTGATTGCTCCCTGCTCGTGCCCGCCTATTTTGTCATTTTGACGAAATGGGGGGCGTGGCTTCCTGAGGCTCCCGACGCTGGAACGAGGTGAGTAAAAAGGGCTGCCTGGAGTGTCCCTTTAAGTATATGAGAGAAAAAAAAAAGTAAAACTCATCACCTTTAGTATGTTACAAGATTCTTCAGTCCATGCACCTTGGGTAAGATTGTGTTTAAAACCAACAGTTAGTCTTCATGGATTGAATCAGGGAAGATCATGGGAAATAACTGTCGGTTTACAAACACTGTCTGACCCAGGGTGCATAGATATAGCTGAAGGATCATGTCATATACTAAAGGTAGGGATGATTTCAAAAAATTTATTTTTTACATATTCTTCATTTTAAAATAATCTATTTCCATTGCTTTCAAAACTTGACGAAAGGATTATTTTATTAAAAAATAGTTTTGAGATGACAGTTGTCCTTTAAGTAGACAACCTATGAAGTTTTTACTCCTGAGCTTGAGTAGCCCAAGAGAGTTTAACAGGATTATTCAAGTGTGAAGTTTTAGGAATTCAAAGTAAAGAAGTAGAGTTCAGTGGTTACATTTTGAACAGGAACAAACATAATTCCGAAAGGTAAAATTAAGGCAAAATTTGCAGATTTGTAATAGTTTGTAACTTCGTTTTAGTCTCTGGTAGGCTATTTTTGCTTAGATTTTGCTTTTAAATTTCAATTAATTTCAATTCATAGATTCGCAGATTAACCACAAAAGTTCTTTTAAATTTTATGCCACAATAGCTGAACTTGAATAACAGCTGACTTGAACGTTTGATATTCACTGGCAAAACTATTCACTAAAGTAAAATTGCCAGAAATTCAAAGTGCACTTCAAAAATATAGGTCAAAAGAGACAGACTGAAAACGGAACTGAGTTCTGTTTGGCTTTTTAGAAATTTGAATTTCAGTTTGAATTCCCATCAATTCTGAATTTAGCAAACAGTTTGAGCACTTTCCCTCAGAGGGCGCCAGAGGACTCCTGACTCCACAAGTACTACAGTAGGCTGGTGGCTACGATGGTCGAAGTGGTCCTTTAACCCCTTAAGGACGTGTGACTTGTCATGATTCCCTTTTATTCCAGAAGTTTGGTCCTTAAGGGGTTAATCTAGTTGATTCAATATTGAAAACACATGCTCATTCTTCAAAGGATCTGGAGCCTGTTATATAGATGAATTTCTTAATATCCTAAAATACTCAATGCTTTCTTATTTTAAATCTATGAACCAAATGGTCAAACAAGTTCAATCCCACCATTGACTTTCCACTGAAGTTTTTAGTTGTACTTGAATTTTAACTATTCATTTAAGTAAAGTACCATATTGTATAAAAGTGAAACAGTGTAAGAATAGAATACAATATCATTACATTTATTAATTTAGTATTACATTTAAAAAAAAATGTTCTGTAAAATTAGTAAAGTTACACTCCCAACAAGTTTAAAAGCACATGAAAGCAAAAACTGAAAATTAAAGAAAATATACAAAATCTTGTCAGGGCATAATTTTCACTCATAAATGGCTATCTATGTATTAGTCAGGGTTATTTATTACAGTGAGAATTGTTGCGAATACAAAGACAATTTAAAATAATTTTAAAATATCTGTCTGTCTATCTAGCTATCTATCTATCTAGCTATCTATCTATTATTATTTATATTTATTATTATATTATTTATAATAATTTTTATATAGCGCCAACAAATTCCATAGCACTTTACAATGGGTGGACTAACAAACATGTAATTATAACTGTAACGGAGCTCCCTGTACCCTTGGCTGGGTACCACCGCCAAGGACTGCTTCCTAGCTGGAACAGGGGACAAACCTCAGCACTCTTGCCCTCAGTCACCGTGGCTTGACAGGGGTCCTGGAACCGCTCCCTCCTGGAGCCAAATGGGGAATTTGCTCTAGACACCCCAAGACATTGGATGACACTCAGTCCTGGGAGCTCTAGTCCTTACAGGGACCTTCCCCGTTGAATCCTCCACACTGGAACAGTAATTAAAGAGTAGCCCTTTCCCCTCCCAGTAACCAGACAACACATAGTTCTGGGAGTACTAACTGGAATCTGTTTAATGGCAGCCACAACTGACCTTATATGCATGTCCCAATGCAAAGGGCACTCCCCTCTGGACCTGAGAGTAGACTACAGTAAAAACAAATACACAATTACATTGGCTCTCAGATCCAGGACACTCCGATACATAATAAGATAATCCCTCCCCTGTGCCTGTGAGATAATTAGTTCAGAACTGTACTAATCTAATCCAATTATCTGCAAGCACAGAAAAAAACTACTTTTTTCCCAAATACCCCAAAAGTACCCTAAAAACACATAAAAACCCCACAAATGTTATACCCCCTGATAGCCCTGACCTGGGTGACCTACATATCCAAAAATTGCCCAGATCAGTTTAGAGGTTCAGGAATTTCCTGGAAGTCATTTATTTGACCGACCGCACGCACGGTCCCATGCCCAAAACAGTTCCAGAGAATCAGGGCTTGCGGTCGGTCTAGTTCGGTAGTTTAAAAATCAACAAACTACCGAACATAGTCAATAGTCTTACCTTGGAGCTTGTTCCCCTTGTTCGTGGGAACGCTTCCACCGAACAGTGTCTTTCTAAGTGTTGTCGAACCGAACCAGGCGATCCTGGAAGTCCAGCGGTGGAGTATCTGTGTCCGTTTTCAATTCCATGAGATTCATGCCCAAACACTGCTGCCTGCTTTCCTGCGAACAAGATGGCCGCCACCTCGTGGTCGTCCATAGGAATTGCTGCCACCGAGACGAACACTTAAAACACTGAGGTGGAAATTGTACAAAGTAGCAACTAGGCTTAACAAGCTCCAGGGTTGTCTCATGCGGCTGTTCGGTTCCTGAACCATATAGTCCAAATACACGAACGGAGACTTTTATATCACATTTTACAATGTCCATAGTCTGTGGGCAGGAGGGTGACAAGCAGGCTCCTCCAGGAAATTGTGGCAAACTCACGAGTAGAGGGAAGTTTGTTACAGTAACCAGACAAGATTGACGCACATGAACAGAGGGGTTGATGGCCCTGCTCAATGAGCTTACATGCTAGATGGAGTTGGGTAAAGTGACACAAAAGGGAAGGATAGTATTGTGGAAGCAGACTGGTAGAATAGTATTCACTGAAGGCTAAGTTTTTTAGTTTTTTTTTTAAATGACAGTTGCAGGAGAGGAATCAGTTGGGAGCCATTACCAGTTTAATTTAATTTTGTGAAGCTGGATCCTGGTATTGGGTCCAGGGGTGATTTTTTAAGTAGTGGAGACTGAGTGAAAGTCTAACGGAGAAGGGAAGGGAGTTCCACAGGAATGGTGCAGCCCTAGAGAAGTCTTGAAGGCAAGCATCAGAGGTGGGAGTACGAACAGAGGATAGATGTAGGTATTTGCCAGAGAGTAGGGGCCTTGACAGGACATACTTGTGTATTAGGGAGGATAGACAGGTGGGAGTAGCATTATGTAAAGATTTGAAAGCAAGAGCCCTAATTGAGCCCTATATCTTACGGGAATGCAGGGACTGACAGAGGGGTGAGGCGTGGGAGGTGAGGGTGGACAGGAAAATGAGCCTCGTCGCTGCATCCATTATAGACAGTAATGGGGCAAGTTGGGAGCACGTAAGACCACTGTCTGTCTGTCAGTCTGTCTTCAATCTATCTATCTGTCTGTCTATCTCCCTGTCTGTCTGACTATCCATTTATTAGTAAATATCAGTTGTTATTTTTTAAATTAATTAACATAAAATTATAAATATGCAGTTAGAGAATCCGTCTAAGCACCATAACCACTACACTCAAATGTAATGTTTATGGTGCTAGAAAACTGCAGTTAGTATAAGCCAGTTCTGAATCAAACTATGTTTTAACATTCTGTCAAATATGGCCAAAATTTATATTAGACATGCAGAAGTGGAACAGTGAGTGGGGGCCTGGTCGTGGGTACCTCACAAACCTAGGCCTTGGGTCAATCTAATTATAACAGAAAGTATATATGTTTGATGTTTAAACTACACATGTAGTATATTTTGAATACGGTCCGTGGAGAAATTAGGCATTTTAATTGACATGTTTACTCAATTTACATCCACAAATGACATAGTACCATTTTATTGTTATCCTTTATAAGGTTTAATAATATAATGCGGTACCCTCCTTTGACAGACATACATATACAAATAAAGACTACTGATGGTTAATTATAGGGCAGTGAAGAATATTTTGTATCTTTAATGTTTAAATCCAATATAATTCTCAATGGTATTGTTTATTTTAAAGGGACACTCCAGGCACCCAGACCACTACTGCCCATTGGAGTGGTCTGGGTGCCAACTCCAACTACCCTTAACCCTGCAACTGTAATTATTGCAGTTTTCATAAACTGCAATAATTATCTTGCAGGGTTAACTCCTCCTCTAGTGGCTGTTTACTAGAGAGCCACTAAAGGGCACTTCCTGCTTCATAGCACAGATTTTCAATGCTTTCCTATGGAGAGCTCTAATGCGCGTGCATTGCCGTGCATGCGCATTAGGTCTCCTCAGCCAGCGGGCGGGATCAGTCTCCCCCGCCGGCTGTCGTGATGAAGGAGAGGAGCGGCGGCGACCCGAAAAAGCACCGCCGAGGGACATCGGTGGGGGTCTCAGGTAAGTCACTGAAGGGTATGGGTGGTGGGAGAGAGAGGGGACCTGCAGTGCCAGGAAAACGGATTGTTTTCCTGGCACTGTAGAGTCCTTTTAAGTGCCACATTAATATATATTTGTGTTGTTAATTTGACAATTCTACAACATACGCTTTGTGAGATTTAAACAATTTACTACAACATCGCTTTACCAATGGTACAGAAATAGAGACAAACTTTACAAATGAGATCGCTAGTTGCATTGATCACAAGACAGTGACCTCTAGTGCATGATTTTAACTTTGCCCTTGGGAAATAACATAACTAAACACCAAAAAAAAGACATACACAACACATTTTAACAGTAAAATATATTGATATTGCTACATTTGCTCATAATTTGCCATATTGGTCTAATTAAGTATGCCTTGAAATGTCCATGCTACGTCTGCCTGACATAAGTACTTGAAACCCATTGAGTTATAGTACAACCTGTGATTTAGATTTAAAAAAATGTATTTTTTTTCAAACAGCTCTTCTCCTTCAACTAGTTCCCAACAGGCAATCTTAATTGTTGGATAAATATTACATTGTGTAAAAAAATGTGGTCAAAACCTGTTTTTAATAAATACAGTACTTACAGATTACATTTCTAAAAATTGTGCATTCATTAAGACATTTTACCCCCCAAAAAGTACAATAATCACAAATATATTTGTATTTGAACCTGACTAGACACAAATGAGCCCTGAACTGACTAACTGGGCAAGAGCTGACATGTGCCTCAGTGACCTTGAATATTACCAAATAGTGACCTCCACTGGCCATTAAGAGTATTTGTCATCATTAAGAACTAAATGCTCCATTACTGATGCTAGACACAACAGATGAAGATGTAGCACAGAAGATGGCTTTATATTCAACTACTTTATACGTTCCAGTGCAACTTTACATTTAGGTCCAACCCATCCTTTTATAAATAGTAAACAGAGTTACATCCATTTCCAAACTCCTGGTTAGTTGCCAGCAGAATATATAATAAAGAGTTGCGTGCAAATATTACTATAACCCAAGGCTTTATATAAACTACACGTTCAGGTCATTGGGTAATAACAGGTTTTTCCAGTTTCCTTTTGTATTCTCCTGCACGCACGTTAATGTAACAAAGCTCTAAGATTGCCCGAAAGGGAGAGGTGAAGAAAACATCCTAAACACAAGTTATGATCTCACACCATTCATCTTCTCCTTTGAGTTATTCGAGACTGTGTGAGTTCAGTGTTATGATAGACTACTATGCATTGCAAATACACAGAGCAGGATTAACCATAAGGCGACTTTAGGCGGCTGCCTAGGGCCCAGGTGTTAGACATGATCTGTTCACTCAGTGGCACAGTTCTTTGTCATCTGCATCTTCTCTGGGAAACCATCGAACAGATTTACCATGTTTTTAACATCATGTCCTAATATCATCCTTGATAAATGAAATATGTAGGGGCATGTGCTCTTCCATGCTAGACTACATACCACCTTCCCTGGTCTAATTGGTACTTTTTTCAAACTACTACTATATGGTCAACGGTAGTTGGGTGATCTAAAATGATTCATCCATGAGGTTCCAACCATCTTGTTACACCCTTAAATTAAGTTACCATAGTATAACGGAAATAATACATTGGTATAACAAACTATCTTTACTGATATATGTCGCGATATTATACATTTTATTGCACACCTTCTGTTAGTTCAGAATTTGCTTAATTTATAATTTATAAATTTATAATGCTTTGACTATAAATAAAATGTTGTACATAGTGGATTGATACATTTTTAATATTAGTTATTTGAAATTTTCATCACCAATGTCAAAGAGGCGATGTAAGCCATCCAAAAATAGTTGAGCTGAAGAACTAAAATAGTAAAAATGATATAGATTAGCTATGGAATTTATAAATAAAATACAATGTGAGATTGTGGGTTGTAGAGATGGAACCTGGATGCATTCCTTTTACCAGTGTTTTCAGATAAGCCTGAAATGGTCATAGATTTCCAGAGTGCATGGTAGCACAAGTGCTGAGACGTACAGCTAGGTTATCTAGAACAAAGGGCGGCATCATTATTCACGACAAAGACAAGCCTCGCAGCAACTACACTTGCTTGGTGATTCATTCTGTAGCTCTGTTATTCAGTAAACCATGAACATTATGAAGGGATAGTGGAAGAAAAGACAAATCTTTAGAAACCCATCATATCAAAATATTCCTGACACCAGAGATGGACAACGTTATCAGCAGATAAACAATCATTTGAACTCTGTGCAGCTTGAGACACAGAATAATCTATCAGTCTCCTATTTTACTAAAATAACTGTTTTATGGATAAATTGTGTTAAAATCCTACTGTTACTTTGATATATATTTTGTGAATATATATTTTCATCTTCTAGGAGTGTCTCCCTATGTAAACCATACCAAGTGAGAGCCAGTAAGTAATGCATTCTTAGAATTTAGTATGCATGCTTAAAAATGTAACACAAAATGTTTTAAACCATCTCCACTAACACAAATGTCCTGTCATACATTTGAAGGCTATATAAGAATACTAAGGATATAAGTGATTGTAGAATCTGCAGCATGTATTTATTTAACAGTTCTTATGTACCAATCTTATTCAGAGCACTTTGCAAACACCAGAAATGATATATATAGGGGATAAATATTTAAACACACCAATTCAGCTATTTTTACCTTAAATATGAAATTCCCTTTGAGCTCTTTATTTAACATATATTTGTGTTCGGGGCAATAATGCCGTAGGATAAATAGTAAAACATAACATAGTTGAAAATTTGAATAGTAAAGTAAAACCAGTCGGTTGTGGTGTGCCGGAACCGACAAATGCAGTAGGCCTGTAATAAAGAGGGCCCACCTCAGAGGGTGATCTGAAAAGCGGGTAATGTGAAAAGAAGGAGGGGAAACTCGCCAGACCCATAACAGTGTGAGAGAAAGGGTAGGAGGCCCTTTTAAAGGGGAACCAAGCCGCACGCACAACTACAGGCCCAGCCTTAAATTTGTGTTCAGGGCAATAATGCCATAGGATAAATAATAAAACATAACAAAGTTGAGAGTACAAATAGTAAAGTAAAATCAGTCGGTTGTGGTGCTGGAATCAACAAATGCAGTAGGCCTGTAATAAAGAGGGCAAAAAGGAAGTGTACCAACAAAATTTATTCACACTACAACCCTTGTACATTATCACTTGGATAAATCGATAAATGCTTGGCGTGTCTCTTGAACTGGTTGGGGTATATATATGTTAAATAGATTGATGTTTCCCAGCATCTCATAGTCCCGATGACATGGGCCGGGATGTTATCGCTAGATGCAGAGAATGCTGCCTGCCATACGAAAAGAGTGGCTTGAGAAGTAGGTTGCGCTTATGTAGTTAACAGCATGAATATGACAGTGGTGAGTAAAGCACTGTGTAGCTCCAATAAAGGATGGTGTGAATGTTTTGCGTTGAGCTAAGAAAATTAACCAATATTTCCACCAGGCACCATTGATTGTGCGTAGGATAGTAGGGTATGTCAACCGTGTGCCCCATCTGGCTAGTTTGGAGTGAGTAAAAGGACATAGTGACACTAGTAATTTGTGGATATGGCACCTTTAATCCGTGGAGGCGAGGTTGATGGCTGTGAAATCTCTTTCAGCCATAAAACCCAGGTAAATCGCAGTTTGATTACCATGTTAGTGAGGGGTTTGAAAGGTGATGAATCTAATATGTAAGCTAAGGAGTGGAACAATTAACTGTAGATAGGCAGTCTTAAGCGGGTAATAGTGTTGTGTATTTTTGGATTCCGTTGAGTAAGGCCTTAATCTGTTAAAATGGTAGGAATTCTATTTTTTGTCGGGGTATTGTGTCAGCATATGGCATTGGATGCCTGATAGGTAGCGTTTAATGGTGCTAAATTACAATATTAAATTGAGGTGGCAAAATGAAGTGAAACCTAAAATGGATTTCATAGCAAACTTAACTCGTACGTGATAATCGGTAGTAAACTTATTAAAAATGCCAAGCCCTATCCTAAGATTCCTAGTGTTTGCAGATAGTGCCAGGTGGGTGAGAATCTGAGCTTGTGTTAATAAAACATATAATCCAGTAACATATCCTGGAACGGAGGGAAGAGAGTGGCCAGCCGAGAAGCTGTAGGTAGTGTCGTGTGAAAAGCAAGAAAGCGGAATGAGATAGGTGGTCATCAGACACATTAGTGACCCCAGGAACATGAATGCATGTGAGGAAATAATGCTGTGTAGCTTCCACCCACATAAGTTTCCTTAAGAACCTCATAACAACTAGGGAAGATGACCGTCCTATATTTATGATGTGGTAGGTAGCGTGGTTGTCCGAAAACATCTGACCGAGTGGCCTGCCCAGAAAGGACCCCAAGCAATTGCTGCTGCCACTATTGGATATAACTCGAATAAAGCAGTTGATTAGGTGAAAACTGGAATATTCTTAACCTCTGCGAGCCATGAGCCCCAGAGCCACTGATTGCCACATATGGCAGTAAAACCAGAGTTGACTGCTGCATCTGTCTAGAGGGTTGGAATATTAGCTGATATAAGGGGGATGAACATGTTACATTCAATGTAGTCAGGAAAGTGTGCCGCATGAGTAAGTCGGAAGTTGCGTGTGGTCTATGGAGATTTTTGGCTTCTGCATACATTAATTAGTAGTCAAAATCTTGGACTGCTCTTTATGTGTATTTCCCCTATGTAGTTGTGAATCTATGTATGTTTTACCTGCTCCCCGTTTGGGAGAGCTCATTCGAACGGTTTCCGTTCGTCTCCCGAATGGGGACCATTCCAAGTTCCCATTTACAATGTTTAGTTAGAACGTTTACACCTCGCTAACGAGGTGTAAAAACCGCAAACCACAAGGGAAGCGTCAGCGAGTGCCGACCCTGGGTGGCGACCCGTTCGTTAGATGAACGCCATCCAGGGGGAGCATTCCCGGATTGCTTCTCGTCTCATTCGGTTCCCGAACGAGGCCCTTCCCAGTGCCCCTTGGAATGTTCTCACTAATGAAGTAGAACATTGGCAACTTGCAACATAAGTGTGAAACCGCAAGGGAAGTAATTAATGAGTGCTTCCCTGGGTGGCCGCCGTTCGTATAGGGGAGTGGCTGCCAGGGGGAGCATTTGTGTCCCAAAAGGGGATGCTTTCCTTGCCTGGTTTCACCCAGGGACCCTGCGAACGGAGGCTGTTCATGCTGAGTACCGTTCTGGGGGTCCCTGAGATAGGTGAGGACATTCCTTGGGGAAAATGGCGGTTTGGCGGGTTTTCTGTGGCTTGGAGTCACAGAGACGGGAAGCTTTCCTGAGCTGGGAGTCCCAGCCAGGGCTCATGGGATGAAGACCTCTGGTCACCAGAGGTGGGGAAACCTGGGGAGGGGTGGCGTGAACTGGGGACAAAGGGAGTTCCTGTCAAACGCACAGGCCCCTGGGAGGGGGAGGACCCTGGGAGGTGACACTGAGTGGCGTGAACAGGGGACAAAGGGATTAGGGTTCCGGTTCCATTGTGTGACCCCTGGGAGGACCCGGGGAGGGGACATTGTCATTTTGTGTGTTCCACCCATTGCATGGTGAAAGTATAAAGCCGAGTGTGGCCAACAAAGTTGTCGTTGTACCCCTGGAACTGTGTGTCGTCCAGTTAAAATGGGTCTATTCATTCTGCATTAGCTGAGGTAACCAGCTGGGTTACCCTCGGCCCGCTACAACTGGTGGCAAGCGGCGAGATCCTAAGTCCCTGCCAACAGATCCATGGACTATAGTTCCCTCAAAAGAATAACCCTACAAGGCTTGCTGGAAGCGAGAGGGAAATTGGCAGGCAACCGTAAAAAGGTGGAGCCGACCCATGGAGGACGATCAGTGAAGAAAGGAGACGGCTACCCCATAGCTGGAGGGGGACTAAGAAATGTTCGCAAAGGCAATAAGGCAGCACTTTGGCCCCATTCCCAGAGACTCCCCCAGCTGACATACTAGCCAAGCTCATCTATGAGACCCAAGCCTTTGTCCTGGCTCAGAAGCAGAGGGAGACCCTCATACTGACCAAGGAATAGCGGGCAAGAAAGGAACTGGCTATACCTGTATACAAGCCGAAGCTGCCATACAACGCCTTCAAGGAGTTTAAGAAAGCGGAGGAGGGCATACAAGCGATTTCCTACAGGACTGCTTGAATGCCAATCAAGGAGTCGAGCAGTTAGAGTCCCAACTGCTCGGTAACCATTTTGGCCAGCAAGTTGTCAGGGTTAGGCTGCGGAGCCACTGGGAGCCCCCTTCGTTAAGCAGTTAGACTACTGAGCCAGGTACGGCCGTACACCCCAGAGGCATCCACTGTTCCGGAAATTCAGGGAGCAAAGAAGTGGAGAGAACCCCATTCTCCTATACAGAGTGCTGGCCATGTATTACCAGGGCCACCCCTGGATATACTTCAGCTCTTCATGAATTGGAAGTAGACAACTTTTTATAGCAGACTCCTCAATACTACAGGTGCAGGGCATGCTGGGTGACAGACAGCCACCACTGGATAAACTTCAGCTCTTCATGCTGGAACATTTTTATAGCAGACTCCTCAATGAGGTGCAGGAGTGGGTGACAGACAGACAGCCCTGAACGCTAGCTGAGGCAGCACAGAGGGTCAGTGATTACGCCCGACTGCCCCTGTGACCTACAGACCACCCTTCTGCCCTGCAGCCCGACCTACCCCCACCAAAAAACCTGCTGGTGGTGGGAACCACGCGAGGGTACAGATGCTTCCAATGCCAACAACCCGGCCACCAAAAAAGGGACTGCCCTCAACTCCGACCCAGTGGGTTCGCCCTGTAGTCACTCAACACCAAGAGCGGCGGCTCACTACTACTAAGCAGAGCCCCTGAACCCCCCTGACAACGCCTGGGTCCCCCTGCACTCAGCTAGCCCTTACCAAGCTGCCCACAACAACCGTGCCCACCATCGGCTGCCAGTCCGGCTGAATGGACAAACCGTCCAAGGGCTAAGGGACTCTGGGGCCACTCTGACCCTGGTGCAAAGCCAGCTCATCACCCCGGCTAAGAGGAATGGGTGATGAGCTGGCTTTGCATCAGGGTCAGAGTGACCCCAGAGTCCCATGTTCACCTAGATTGGGGCAACGGTGGTCGGAAGGTGGAAGTTAGGCTCATGGAGAAACTTCCCGCGGACATTCTGCTCAGCAATGCCTTGGGCTACCTCACCTCCACCCATTACAAACACCGAGCAGAGCTATCCTGTGACAACAAGGCAATAAGCCCACACCACCCAAGACGGCTAACACTCTGAGGCTCAGGTAGGCACATGTGCCCCTTCCCGCACCCCAATTTCCCGCAGATGACCACGTAAGCAAGATCCCGTACTAGTTACCGGGCCTCAGAGCCCCGGGACCCATACTCTGGGATACCCCAGTGGAGTTAGAGAGGGAAGTAGCATCCGACCCGACCCTACAGGCTTATAGGGAAAAGGCAGTCAGGTGGGAGGCAAGGAAACAGGGAGAATGGTACCTCTGGGGGGGCAGTTATACCACATAGCAGAGTAAAAGGAACCAGCTATAGCTCCTACTACCAGCAAGCAGTTGGTGGTGCCCAGGAAATATCGGTATGAGCTGCTGAAGCTAGCTCGTTTCGGCTTACCGTTATTAAAGACCCATTCGGCAGAGTAGCTGTCGATATCATAGGCTCCCTAGCTAAGCCTAGTCCCTAGGAAGAAGTACATTCTGACCATGGTGGACTACGCGACTCGGTATCCCGAGGCAGTAGCCCTGAGCAACATTCGGGCAAAGACTGTGGCTAAAGCCCTGATGCAAGTGTTCTCACAGATGGGTTTTCCCCAGGAGATCCTCTTGGACCAGGGCACCCAATTTACTGCCAAAATTACCCACCATCTATGGAGGTTATGCGGCATCAAACCGATTCTGAGTTCCCCTTGTCACCCCAACACCGATGGCCTGTCTGAGCACTTCAATGGTACGTTGAACAAATGCTCCGTACCTTTGCAGCGAAACTACACAGGGGAAATTCACGAGTTAAGAAAATTAGCAACGCTATAAAGGCTCACTTAAATGGCTCTTTTTAGAACACATCAGTCTCATACAATCAACTCAATTACAAGCTAGCTGACCAGCCAGTTAAAGGCGTTTTAGCCTAGCTCACACTTAAGAAGAGCCATACATGTTGCGATATATAATAAAAGAAAAAAGAAAAATGGGGAACCGTGCCCCAAAGAGTAATATAAGAAGTAATATACGTACACAAAGACTTTTGTATGAATGGTTCTCATATAACCTCAAATATAAAAACAGAGAAAAAACATAATAGTGCAATATGGTATGGTGAATAGGTAAAATGTTAGAGTGGATTAGAGTAATATACACTCACATTTGGTAGAGCTAACCAGGAGCTCTACCGTAATTCGTATGGACGGAACAATCCCCGTCTAAGCTCCAATAGTGTAGTATATTAAAGGAAGTTCTCTCTGCTTTGCAGACACTACACTATTGGAGTTTCCTTTTATGTCTTCTATATTGCCGCCTTTCTGGAGTATTGGAGTCATTCGCTTCCATATAGATCCTTTCATTGTACCGTTAAGCTTGGTTATATATGTTAAATATATAAATCATACACATAACGTTTAGCCTGGCAATATATGTTAAAAATGTGCAAAGAACTCATACCACTACCTAACCTGTATGCATATGCAAATATACGCTGTTGTGGCGTCTTAACAAAGATTTGTACCTACCAATAAAAATAAAGAATCTAAAAAAAAAAAAAATCTCCTCCAACCTTCTAGCCATCCTATCCCTCAGCACAGCAGACACTCTTGCGTTTAGGTGCAATCCATCACGGCTATACAGATTGTACCCAAGCGCAAAATCGGCCCAGTGCTCTAAAAAACCCAAACCCTCTTTCCTGCACCAAGACTTCAGCCATGCATTGACCTCTCTAATCTCCCACTGCCTTTCTGCTGTAGCGCGCGGCACAGGTAATATTTCTGAAAATGTTACCTTGGAGGTGCTTTTCTTTAGCTTACTTCCTAGTTCCCTGAACTCATTCTTTAGGACCTTCCATTTTCCTCTGACTTTGTCATTGGTACCAATATGGACCATGACAACTGGGTCATCCCCAGCCCCTCCCAATAATCCCTCCACTCTGTTGTCAACATGACAGACCCGAGCAACCGGGAGGCAGCAAACTGTCCATTTGAGATGATCAGAGTGGCAGATTACCCTATCTACTCTCTTAATAATAGAGTCCCCTACCACCACAACCTGTCTAGCCTTCCTTACACTCTCAAATTTTGATAATAATATATATTGGTATGTATAGATAGCTATATTTAAATAAAACTTATTTGAAATAAATATATATATATATGTATTTATATATATATATATAAATAAATTCTACAAATATTTATTTAATATTTTTACCTAATTAAGTAATTTTATTGATTACAGTTTGAGGGATCTGCCTGACAACCAATGAAGAAAATCCTGAGAATTATGTTTGCATATATTTAACCCTGTAACTTTTCAATACACTATAAAACCTGTACTTGAGGGATGCTGTTCTACTCGGGAGACCTCGCTGAACACAAATATCAGTATTTCAAAACATTAAAATGTATCACGATGATGATATCGTCAGTAATAGTGCCATTTTATGCATTTTTCACACACAAACAGCACTTTAACTGATTATATTGTTGTTGTGATACATTTTACTGTTTTAAAACATTAATATATTTGTTCAGAAATGTCTCCCGAGTATAACAGTACTCCCCCATGTACAGGTTTTATAGTGTTTATGAAAGTTACAGGGTCAAATATAAGGCTTGCCCATTTCATTTTTTTTCACATTGAAATTTGCCAGATTGATTATGTTGCTTTTGAGACCTGGAAGTCCAGGAATGAGAATTACCCTCATGATGGCATACCATTTGCAAAAGTAGACAACCAAAGATATTGGAAATGGGGTATGTCCAGTCTTTTTTAGTAGCCACTTAGTCACAAACACTGGCCAAAGTTAGCATTCACATTAGTTTTTTTGCATTTTTGCACACACAAAGAAATATGAATGCTAACTTTGGCCACTGTTTGTGAAATATTATTCAAAATCTCAACAAAATCTCACTCAGCATCAATTCCCTATCCATATTCCTCTCTTTTCCCTAGTTTCTGTCACTTCCCCTCTTAGTCCATCTTCCATGGGTCAGTTACTTGTCTGTTAAAATAAACCGCAAGTACTGGTCACCTATACCTCGGTAGCCCATTGCATTCAATGGATATTAGCCATGGCTGGTATTGGTGGCTCTTTTAGTGTACACTCAGTGGTCAAAAGATACTGCAAGGGGAAGATGTGTGTTTCACACTAGAAGAGAACAAAGCTTTGAGAATATTTGAACTAAACCATGAGTAAAAACACAGCAAAGTAATATAATCTTACAATATAAAATATACAGCATGACACAAAAAACATTAGCCTTCAACAAAACAAAATTGACAAAACAGCTAGCAAAAAAAACAAAAGCTAATGGTGGGATGGAAAATATTAGCTTCCTGTCTTTATTAAAATTCACATTATTCAGTCACCAGAGCTAGCACAATCCTTAGTTATAGCCTGTAGCATCCAAAAATAAGAAAAGGATAATAGAAGATCGTTGTTGTTATAGCAGATAAAGACTTCTTGAATATTTCTTACAATTAGAGATCTGCTTAGATTTCCTTGTATAATAGTCATTCAGTTTTGTGTTGTCTAGATGGAAAGAAATCTTTAAGATGCATAGGAGGTAGTAGCTATAAATAGTCCATCATACAAATAGATCCATTATACTATTTAAAGTGACTCTTCATCACACTTTGTCTATATATAGATTTGTTATTACTTCATTCACATATAACTTACATCTTAACGTTGCCTCTGTGAATGCTGTGTGCAGGTATGTCGCAACTTAACAAAATATCATTTGGGCAATAATCCATATATGCAGCAAAACAAAGAAGGTTATATCTGGCTGTTAGTCCCAGGTCAGAATTAAACATCTTACATGAACATAATTATTGTCATCATAATGACTATTCCACTGTACACTACAATCTCAATGGGTGGATACGCCATACGAGTAAGGTCAACAAGGCAATTTTAAATTACATATACTATAGGTGATGAGGGCCTATCTAGAGTACATTTTAAATGGTTTGTGAATGTATTATTAAGATGTCTATAAAATATATAACATGAAAATACAAGACGGGTTTGTGGGTTTTGTGATTCATTAAGAGAAAGATGTCAATTGGTTGCCTTCTCGAAGAAGTGGGCGTTTAAGCAAATCTTAAAAAAATTGAAGACTTGGGGATAGTCTTAATCACCTGGAATTATTTCCATAAGAGAAGGTCAGCCCTATAAAGTTTTGTAGGCAAAAGATAAAGGTATGAGTGCGACAGAAGACAGGTACATGCCTTGGGCAGAGCAGAGTGGCTGGGATGGAGCATATATGTTTATTAGTTAAGATATTTAGATTGGGGAGCTGTTATGGGTGATTCTAACATGAAAATTTGAATTTATGGACTTACAAGGACATAAAAATCTTGAAAAGCATCAAACTCTTCCTTTTAGCCCCTTTAGAAAGTATAGGTTGTCTTAATCAGCTTACAACTCCCTACAGTGGTAAACTGCGGTGATAGACATGTTGTGAATTTCTTCCAACAGATCAAAACATTGTGTAATGGAAGATCCAAAAAAATACTGGTAAGACCTGAAAGGCTGTTTCTACACAAAACGTGTTGTTTTGTGTTAGTACAGTACACAAGAAGCTGAACTCTTCAAGTTCCAAGAATTTTAATCATAGGCCTTCATTTCCTTCCTACCAATTTAGAGTGAATTTTACAGAGAATATTTATTCACTTATTTGTAATAAATTAATAAGACTAATGCCAAAGCTAACTATTCTAATATGATCGTACAACAAATTTTAATAAAATTGTTCAAAAAGAGTTAGATTTGCAACCAGAATTTATACGCCAGCTTGTATTGATATGGACAATGGGAAAGGCAAGTGGACATTTAAGACAGAGGGCATTTATAGTGATAGTAATCTAGTGATGTTTCTGAGATTTCAGTGTAAGATTTCAATTATGATTTTATGATATGAGTCAGATTCTATCACAGTCATCAATCTAAGGTTCTGCTCATAAAGGTTCATTAGAGCAGATAAAAATCGATTGTGAAAGTTAGATTAACTTTTAAAGTAAATGGTGAAAGGGAAAAAGCCTTTACACAAGACAAGAAAAAAAAGAAAAATGCAAGAATTATCAATAAAAAAAGACATTTATACATAGTTTCCTTTCTTTCCTGTGCAAAGAGAGCCCATTTACTAAGGCAAATACACTCCTAAAAATTAGCCAAAAATCTGATACCAGGACAGATGGAGGAAGATAGTTGGACTTCTTTGAAAGGTGGAATGAGACCACAGAAGATTCCAGGGTTCTATCAGTCATACAGTACAGGTACCATATGGAGCTAGATTCCTTTCTTTCCCCCGTTTTTCATTCTTCGACAGTGCATTTAGAAGATCTGTTTTTGTTTCAGGAAGGTTCTGTTTTTGTTTCAGGAAGTTCAGAAGCTATTAATGAAAAGAGTGGTAGATGAAGGGCTTATAACAGATATACGATACAAAGGCACTTATTCAAGGATATTTTGGTACAGGAATCAGACAAGACCTACAGACCAATTCTGGATTTAAAAAAAGTTAATCAACATGTGGTGAAAAATAGTTTTGGATGAAGACAATTCTCTTAGCTACCCAGATTCTGCAACAGCGAGATTGAATGATATTCTTAGACTTAAAGGATGTTTATCTCCACCTTCTTATTCATCTAGAAAGCAGGCAATTTCTCAGTTTTTGTGTTCTCCAACAAAGCTGCTGTCGACACTTCTAATTCCAAGCACTTCCGTTTGGCCTATCCTCAGCACTGAGAGTCTTTAAAAAGTTATAGGTAGTCTTCACGACTGTGCTAAGAAGGAGAAGCCTCCTTATTGTCCCATGCCACAAAATTTGCTTTTATAGTGTCCTCTAGCATTTCTATAGAGTCCTTTGATATCTTGTGTGAGCCATCTCACACAAGATATCAAATCACAGAATGTTTGCAAGACCATGGATCAATTAAGAAAAGAAGTCTCAGCTGATCTATTCAATATGGCTCATGTCCCAGGATTCAGTGGCAATGAAAATGCCAATGGAAAAGCTGAAACAATTAGTGAACACATTAATCGCTTTGAGAAAGAATAATATCTTTATAATCAGAGATACCACAAGAACATTTGGACTTCTGACTTCTTCTTTCTCAGTGATCAACTGGGCAAAAGCAAGAATTAGATTCCTTTAGACAAGAATCCTATCAGTGTGACCGTAGAGACGCCTTTGTGGGAATCCACAATTCTGAGTTTTAACTGGTAGTAACCCCCTCTTTTCTACATCGGGATATTTTTGTTCAGGATCAAAAAGTGGCAGATAATTATAACAGATGCTGCAGCTTCAGACTGGGGTGCTCACGTGGACCAACAAACTATAAAACATCATTGGTACATATTAGTAGATGACAGAAAATCCTAAATTTTAAAGAACTGAAGGCAGAGTCTATGGCTCTCAAACATATTGAGAGGAGTAAAGAAGGTCAAAATATACAAATCAGATCAGACAATGCAGCAACTATTGCACATACCAGGTGGAACTGAATCATCCTCACTCACTTATCTGTGCAGTTACATCATGCATTGGACATAACACTATATTTTATCTCGTTCAGCAGTTTGCATAAAAGGAAAGGAAAACTCTGGTGGTTTCAGTGATCACAGGGAACATCCCGCATCACACATGAGGAATAGTCTCATTCCCAAAATATTTTTCAAAATATAATGAAATGATTCGGGCAATCAGACACAGACCTGATTTCCTCAAGACTTAACAGACTTTCTGGATTTTATAGCCATAAAATAAGATTTCAATCTGGTGTATGTTTTGTTTTCAAAATGTTCTGTCTGAAAATTATCAATGGCCTTCTGGCCATTCCAGGAATTGTAAATTTTTTCAGTTAAGTTTCTCTAATGGACTACCTCAACTTTAAAAGGTGAAAGTCTCTGTTACAAGTTTACTCTCCATAAAGAATCTGGCATCAAATGAATTAATCTTGAGGTTCATCAAAGCTGTTTCTGATCTACCTTCTTTTACCAGAGAGATTGTCCCTCCTTGGGACTTATCAAAAGGTTGTAAATCCCATTTTAAACCTTTGAAGTTAATATTGCAAACTCATACCCATTCAGAGCCATATTTTGGTTTCCATTTAGATAAAGTTGTCCTAAAACTCCATCCATCCATTACTGCTGTAATCAGTACCACAGGGATGTGTGGACCCAAATAAACAGGTAAACAAACATTTAGAATCAATCTCTTCTATTAAATCAAGTATCACTTCATCTTCTCTCTTCCCAAAAATATCTTATCTATAAAATATATTTAATTTTTTTATAAATGTTTACATTTCTCTTTTATGATTCTCGCAGGTTTATTTTGATAATTTCCCAATCTGTTTGATAGCTACACATATTAATTTCATTTATTTTTAATACCACCCTTTTTTGTCTTTTTAAATAGTTTTCATGCCTGCAACTTCAAATCTATAGAATTATTTCAGTAATATAACTCCAGATTGCTTCTGCATTTTCAGTTTGCATTTGACTTCGGCTAAAATATTCTTGTACAAAACAATTTTTAGATTAGTATTCAAGAATTTACATTCAAATTAGTTCTGTAATTTGTCAAGAGACATGAAATTGTTTTCACACATTTGCTTCCAATTTTCTTTTTAAAAAATAAACAAAGATATATAAATGTACCCAGTTCTGCTTTTTGTAAAACAGAGCCATGTCAGATTTAGTGATTAGTGAACTTGTAATTAAGTATTTGTCTGTCAAACAATACTTTATGATATTGACCTTTGATAAGTGACCTTATTAAACAAAGCAGTAATTGCTGCAGTCTCTATTGCACAATATATATGGAAACTAACCTGTAATCAGTCTAAATTGTAGTGATTTGACTTTCTTTAGAAATAAATGTTAAACGTATTCTATTGCAATACAGTACAAATTTAAAATTGCATAATTTTGAATTCTCGTTTAACTTGTTGAGTGCCATTGCACACTTCCCTGTTACTAAGAAGGCCAAAATAGTTTACAAATAAATAGGGAAAATTGTTGCTTCTAAATGAAATTACTTATTGTGGAATTTCAATTTGTAATCATTTAAAATGATTATTGATCCATGAAACGATAAGTGGATATGGCATTAATAACTGGGTGAAACCCTAAGTGGATATGGCACTGATAAGTGGATGGACAAAAGGACACCAGAACCCAAATGTGAAATATCCTTATTTTACAAATGGTTTGGCTTTTTTGGGAGAAATTTTTAGGCAAATAAATTTCCCCAAATGACACAGGCTCAGAATACCAAATCTAAAGTATGCGCATAGTTATAAATATACTTAAGATATGTAGCTGAACATGGTTTTGGAATATTTACTTCAGTAGCAAGAATAAAGCTTATGAGATTCACACAATAAAAGTCAGCCAGAGTCAAACATTTGCAACAAATTATCTAATAAAAAGGCTCAAAATACCTAAATACCTGAGACCCAGGGTTGTCCATTTTACCAAATGGAATAACCTTCTGGGGGTTATTAGAATTGTTAGTTGGCTAATCTGCTCTAAAATGTGAAATTTGTCCAAATTATATATTTGAAAACTTAAAGGAACAGTATTGTGTCTGCTGGCAAATAAAGGGGTAAAAAAACCTTTTTTTCACTTACCTGATTCCAGTGCCAAGGTCTGAAGGCGCTGGATCGGGCTCGTCCACCACCAAGGTTGACAGAGGAAAGCATTAAATCAATGCTTTCCTTTGGGGTAATTTAAGATGCTGGACATCCTCATGCAAAGCAGTTACACAGCACATAAAGACACTATAGGCACCCAGACCACTTAATCTCATTTAAGTGGCCTGGGTGCAGTGTCCCTGTCCTCTTAACCGAAATTTGAAGGATCTGGAGAGATTCTGCATGGAGGAATGTTTTGAGATACCTTGCAATGTATTATCTATCCTCATCAGGCATGATAGGAGAAGATTCAGAGCTATTATCTTGGCAAAGGGAGTTGGCACAAAGTATTGACTAACAGGGAGCCAATAATTGTGCCACACATATATTTAACAAATATTTTTTTTATAAACCTGTGTTGTCTTTGCAATTGTTTGATATCCATGAGAGCAGAGTATTTTTGTGTATTTATCTGAACAAAAGATAAAAAGGTTAAACAATAAGGAACATTTTTACAGCATTATTTGCTCATATTTACCATGGTGCCAATATTCAGGGAGGGCACTGTAGTTGTACTCTACCAAATATCAAATTATCATGACATACAGAGCTTTCATAGAGTATTCTGACCTTTTTTCACATTCCAGACTTGCACTACAGTTGTTGGAATTACAGGATTGCACTCAGGTACACATCTGGGGAAGTCTACAAAAACAGTTGTCTACATTGAAAGTTCAGAAGAGCACTGTCCTCAATAAATTTTAAATGTAAGGACACTTCGTAGAGCTGTCCTTTTGCAAAAAATGAACACCTGAGGACCTTGATCACTCTGGGTGAGCTCCACAGATCACATGTGAAGTTGAGAGAAACTTGTGGCAGGTCAACCATTCTTGCAACATCCCACTGATCTGGCATTCATGGAAGACTAGCCAAACAGAAACCCCTTCTTACTGCAAGACATGTGAAAGTCCACTTGGAAATTGCAAAAAAATTCACATAAAGGACACTTAGACAGTGTGAAACAAGAGTCTATAGTCTGATAAAATGTAGATTTGACTGTTTGGCCATAATTCACAGAGTCATGGAGGAAACCACATACCAATCATCACTTGGGCAATACCCTCCTAACAATGAAGTAGGGACTGGAATATTGTCAGGGTTGAGTGAAGGCTGAATTCAGCAGAGATACATAAATACATATAACTAAATAAATAAATACATAAACAAACAGAGATACAGAAACAGAGATATCTTTAATGAAAGACCAAAAAAGGAAGACGTACAATCACCAACCTAAAAAGTAGGGAAGTGCATGTGCAAAAAAATTTGGTTCAGTTCGGCACTTCCGAAATTCGGGACTTCAGCAATTCGGGACTTCGGTTCGGCTCTTCCGAAATTCTGGACTTCGGGACTTTGGCACTTTGGACTTTCGTAAACATCCCTCTCTTGCCACCACAACCACTTACAAATCTGTAGGGCTTTCTAACTCTAACCCTACTCCTACCCCTAACCCTACCTCTACCTCCACAACCACTTACACATACAGGGTAGTGGTAGCGGTAGGGTTAGGGGTAGGGTTAGGTGCCCGGACTGCCACCACAACCACTTACACATCTATAGGGCTCCCAGTGCCAGGAATTAGCTTATTGGTCTAGATTCCTGTCATCATTCACGTAATTTTCCCTCCCTCTCTTGTTTTGCCACTTTTCAGAAATCCGAAGCACTTCGGCACTTACAAAATTCAGCACTTCGGCAACCCGATTAGTTTCGGCACCTCTGAAAGTCGGCACTTCTGCAATTCGCACATTCGGAAGCATCCGAATGTCCGAATTGCCGAAATTCGTCCTAATTTACATTTGGAACGAAACGAATTGCACGTGTCTACTAAAAAGTGCAGAGTGTAAGGTGTATATCTGCAAACATCTACCCTTATCAGGAACAGGAATATATAGCTCCAGTTCCCGATTAGGGTAGGTGTTTACAGATATACACCTTACACACTCCACTTTTTAGGTTGGTGATTGTACATCTTCTTTTTTTGATCTTTGTCTTATGTTGTGGTAGGTAAGAGGGATACCCACCTTAGTGTAGTAGCGTGTTTTTACTTTTAAATTGTGTTTGTATATAAGAGCTTAAGCGCTTTTATACACACAGGGTATTTTGTGGTTATCCTTAATGCAAACTTGGTCCAGAGCGCTAAGGACATCAGACTGGACTGAAGGTTCATCTTCCAACACACAGTTAAAACAATGCCTACCCATGCGAGACAATGTTAATTTATGTTAATTTGTGTTACTTTGTGTTAAGTTGTATTAACTGATATTAATTGGAATGGATCCATGTACATTTATGTTAGCAAGTTGTATCAGTTTGTAGTAAATATATGTTTAGTGATTATTATTATTTTATTATTTATATAGCACCAGCAAATTTCATAGTGCTGTACAATGGGTGGACTAAAAGACATGTAATTGTAACCAGACAAGTGGAAGCACAAGAACAGTGGGGTTGAGGGACCTGCTCAATGAGCTTACATGCTAGAGGGAGTTGGGTATAGTGACACAAAAGGTATCACTATATATTGTCAGTTTTATAAATGAACCTTGTTACATCCCTGTGAATGTCTTTGATTTGCCCAGTCAGAGCCAATACTTAAAGGGGTTCTATTGTGTTAAGAATATAAAATTGTATTCCTAACACTATAGAGTCCTATTATTCCCCCTCCCTTGCAGCCACCCTTTGCAGCTCATAAAGGGTTATAAAGCATTGATTTACACACTTGATTCCACCACCAAAGTGCCTTCTCCAACAGGGGGACCTAATGCACTTGTGCGGCAAATGTCACAAGAGCATTTGGCCCTCCCCATAGGAAAGCATTGCCTCAGTGCTTTCCTATGGTGATTTTACTGAAGCTGGATGTCCTCATGCAGAGCGTGAGGACACCCAGCGTTAGTAAGGCGACCTAGCGTCCAATAAACTCCCGGAATCGCCTCTAGTGTAAGGCAGACAGTGTAAGGCAGACAGTCACTAGAGGCTGTCTTAGTCCTGCAATGTAAACAAAATGTTTTACATTGCAGGACTAAGTGGGACTCAGACACTGGGGCAATGAGATGAAGCGGTCTGGGTGCCTATAGTATACCCATAGGCGTGCGCACGGGGTGTGCCGGGTGTGCCTGGGCACACCCTAATCCCTGTGCGCACCCCTATGGTTTGAGTCCTGCAGGAACAGCGTTCCTGCACTCTTTTGAGCAGGAACGCTGTTCCTGCAGGCACTCAGTGTCCCCTGTTTCACCTCTTGCCCTTGTCATGGGGAGGGCAAGAGGTGATGGATAACCCCCTCTCTGCAGGTCAGCGCGCGGCGAGGGAGCTCTCTGCTCTCTGCTTCCTCTCGCCGCGCGCTGATGCCGGGAGCCGGAATATGACGTCATATTCCGGCTCCCAGCTCCAGCAGACAGCCCGCGCGGCGAGAGGGAGCAGAGAGCAGAGAGCTCCCTCGCCGCGCGCTGACCTGCAGAGAGGCGCCCGCCCCCACTGGACCCCAGGGACAAGTCCACCAGCACTCCAGGTAGGAGGCTGGGTGGACATTTAAAAAAAAAATTAAAATATAATAATTTGTGTGTGTGTCTGTGAGTGTGTGAGTATGTGTCAGTGTGTGTCAGTGAGTGTGTGTGTCTGAGAGTGTGTGAGTATGTGTGTGTGAGTGTGTGTCTGTGAGTGTGTGTCTGTGTGTGTGTCTGTGAGTGTGTGAGTATGTGTCTGTGAGTGTGTGTCAGTGAGTGTGTGAGTATGTGTCAGTGTGTGAGTGTGTGTGTGTCAGTGTGTGTCAGTGTGTGTCTGTGAGTGTGTGAGTATGTGTCTGTGAGTGTGTGAGTATGTGTCTGTGAGTGTGTGAGTATGTGTCAGTGTGTGTGTCAGTGTGTGTCTGTGAGTGTGAGTATGTGTGTGTGAGTCTGTGAGTGTGTGTCTGTGAGTGTGTGAGTATGTGTCTGTGAGTGTGTGTGTCAGTGAGTGTGTGAGTATGTGTCAGTGTGTGTGTGTCAGTGAGTGTGTGTGTGTCTGTGAGTGTGTGAGTATGTGTGTGTTTCTGTGAGTGTGAGTGTGTGTGTCTGTGAATATATATATATGTATATATATATGTATATATATATATATATATATATATATATATATACACACACACACACACGCGTGCGGCGTGTGTTTGTGCTTTAGGGTGCACACCCTAATGCAATAGGCTGCGCACGCCTATGAGTATACCTTTAATCAAATACCCATGGGGAGATCTGCAAATGGCTGTCCATGGAGGGTTCCCATCCAACCTGACAAAGCTTGAGAAGATATGAAGAAATGCAAGGCAGAAACTATCCAAACCCAGGTGTGCAAAGCTTGTTGCATCTTACCCAAAAAGTCTAAATCCCTGCCATAGGTCATTTAAGTACAGAGTTAAGGTTCTGAATACATATGTCGACGTGATATTTCAGTTTCTTTCTGTTTAATATATTTGTTAAAAAATCTATTGTTTGCTTTGTCATTATGGGGTATTAAGTGTAAAAAAATAATTAAAACAATTTTACCATAAGGCTGCAACATTAAAACATTTTCTGAAAACACTCTATGTCCTACAAAGCACTGACATATATCACCAGTTCTTAAAGACATTGTACCTTGTTAATCGATATATAGTAAACATTTCAGAACAAGGACTAAATGAACAATTATATTACTGTATCTGCTCAAAATCATCCTGCTGTCCGTGAGAGATGTGACACAATGTTAATAAACTGTTACCTGAAAATGTGCTTAAATTATGAATTATAATTATTTATTTTGATGCAGGTGTAAACGTAATATTATTATTTCCATTGTTTCATCATTATCAACATTTTTAACATTGAAAAGACACTTGTTCTCTATGGCAGGAAATTAGAATAAATGTACATATATTCAGGTACTCTGTGCGAGTAGATTGCCATCTCTCTGTCTGTATGTCTGTCTATCAGGAGAAACATTAATAAAAATATTCTCACTTGCTACACATATAATATTTTGTAACATATGTTTATTTGTACCCCGATAATAATTACATGGAATCAAATTATTAAAACAACTTGTTCTGCTGACTGAATAAAGATCTATTACTGGAAACTCTATTTACTGAAATGTAATTTTTAACTGACTTTGAAGGATAGTTGACTACAAAATGTAACTTTAGGTCATTTTAATATGATTGAGTCCATCTGAAAGACACCTCAATCATGCATAAATTTATGAGTATATAAAAAATTTAGAGGCTTATTTTACTATTTTTCTTTTTACAACACTTATGGCATAGATAATGGACATATCTCTGCCACTTCACGTAACTGCATGGGGATATTGAAATTATTAGTACAAAGAGTAAAGGCATGCACTGATGGTATTACACTTATTTACAGGGTGGGCGAGCATCTACTTGATAAGTAGTACAAAGTATGTTTAATGGACTGAGGGCCAAGCAACCTCTTGGCCAATTAATTAACTATAACATCACAATTTGAAGTCAGACTCCATTTATGTATTCAGTGAGGAAAATTGAGTATTTTTAAAAAATAAAGAGTTACCTTCATATAACTTTGGATCCAATAGAAATTTAGAAGCCAGTGATACTTTATATTTACCTTTACTAAGCGACCTTATTGAACCAAGAAGTAATTGCTGCTGTCTCTGCCACATCCCATAATATATTTATTTTATGGAAACTAGCCTGTGATAAGTCTAAATTGTAGTGACTTGACTTTATTAACCCTGCCCCCAACCTACATGTAGAGAATAGTGCAGAGGGACTTCCTAAAGTGGCATTCTCTAGGTGCAACTAGTGAGGAGTGGGGTTGTGGATGTGGAGATCTCTTTTTTTCATAATGCGCTCATAATGAGGGGGTGGTGAAGCATAGTGAGGGGGTTGCTAGCATTGCTGTAGGAACCCATTAAAATCTTGGAGACCAGCCTTTTAAAAGGCTATGTGACCCTACCGTTTAATCTATAATAATAATAATAAAAATGTATATATATAAATATATATATACATATATTTTAATATATATATATATATATATATTTTTCTCACAAAAAAAACTGTTGTTCAAGTCTTTCTGTTGGTATTTTTGCTTTGTCGTGTAGAAATGTAATTTGAATAGCTACGTCGACGACTTTAAAAAAAAGTTGCCATCACGACGAGGGTGGGGGGAGGAGGGGCAGGGGGACTTACTCCTTTCATCCCCTCCACTAGATTTTTCTGGGATGTGGGGCTCCTCATCCTCCAATAAATGCTTCCTACACCTATGGATGAGAAAGAGAGAGAGAGAGAGAGAGAGAGAGAGAGAGAGAGAGAGAGAGAGAGAGAGAGAGAGAGATTTCATAAGTATATAATGCATTTGACAAAAAAAAAAAAAATGTGTGTAAAATAAATGGCCACATTGATAAGATTACTCCAGCTCCAATGACAGAGTGAGAGTATCACTGTCAGCCCCAACTCACACAATTCCCACAGGAAAAAAACGCACTGAAAAACAGATTACATAAACGTTACAGACAAATTGTCAGAATTGGCATTCTATGATAAACTCAGACTCCATGCTAGTCTAGTCTAGATTAAAGCACTTTGGCAGGCTGGGTTGCAGTTACAGCCAGACTCCTGTCATGGATAAATTAGCACTAAAACATACATATGACAAAACACATCTATTGAGGAAATACCATGGGAAATAATGTTTGTTGATTCAAGGAGGGCGCATATCTGCACGATATGTGTAATCTCTTTATAGTATTAGGGGAGAATTATAGAATATACAATAGATCATTGAGAATGCACTTGTTGCATTAAAGATCATTGGATTTTGCTAAACACTTGTAGGCATACATACTTAGTATATGTGACTAACAGGGGCATATATAAATAATAAGACATTATCACCTTCCTAATAAGCCTTCTGCCATGAAAGTGTTAAGTGCTCATTTGCACACAAACTATGAGGCAGGCAATTCAGATATAATATATGGAATATTTTCCTTATAATAGAAAACACTTAATTCTGAAATTGGAATGAAAAGCACACACAACGTTTTTGTTTTTTTTTAGAAATCTTTATACTTTTATTATGCAAACGCGAGGCTATAGGAAAAGCAATCTTCCGCTATATGGACTGGATCGCCACTCCCATAACTGGTAGCCAGCAGTAAAGAGGCGCTTACACCATATAAACAGCCAGGTGGCTGGCTATGCTGATATTCTCTATATTGCAAGGGATACTTAGAGATATCAGAGTTTGCATCTAATTCAATAAAGAAGAAGAATTCTCACAGAATCGAGAATAAGCATTTTAGCCGAGATTTAGCCGATGCAGCTCATAATTTAAAGAAAAACCGTTTTCCCTATTTATTAATGTGAAGATCGAGCTATTCGACAAGGAAAAAAAAATTACTGGATGCCAAGCAAACTTTAGAAAGATAGAATATAGAATCTTCAGCTAAGTTGAAATAGTAGAATTAAGTAATATAGCCAGTTGTTTATACCATGGTAACTCTTTAATGTCACAGTCTACTAAAGACATTGTGTTTTTTATAGTGTCATTGCTTTTATCTTTTTACAAAGTGTCACTGCCTGTCATTGTAACTGCTATTATATGTGTATAATAATGTCACTGATGGCTACGATTTCTTTGTAACATTGGAGTCACTATCAGCTACTAATAATGGCTGCTGCTACTTTAAGTAGACAGTGTGTCTAAAAGCCTCTACCTCATATATACATTGTCACTGCTTGCTGTTGATTTATAATAACACTATGTACAGTGATTTATTCATTAAACCTGGAATTTAAAGAAATTACAAGGAAATGTCCAAACTGGGAAAAGTTTCCATATGAGTTACCGTTCCAGTTTGGTTATTTTGGCCCAACGTCTCTTACAAAAAAAATATCCAGTTTAGTAATAAATCCCACACTAACAGACATTATCACATCCTCATACACACAGTAACACTACATTCCATCTCTTTATAGACACACAGTAACACTACATGCTATCACTGTGGGTTTAATTCACTAAACTCGCAGCAAATTAAAATGAGAACAGTAACATTTAAGATAAAATAGCTGATGTGCAAAATTCTCCAACCAAGATAAAATCAGTATCACGGCTCGATTAAGTTTTCCTGAATTTTTTTTTTAATCATTTCTATTCACTACACTTCGTATTTTTAGTAAATATATCTCTTTATAAGTAATACTACCTGTTGTCACTTAATATACACAATAACACTATACCGCTATCATTGAATGTACATAGTTTCATTGACAATACTTTCTATATACAGTGTCACTGTCTGTCAATACTTTATATATACAGTGTCACTGCCTACCAGTACTTTATATACAGTGTCACTATCTGTCAATACTTTATATATACAGTGTCACTGCCTACCAGTACTTTATATACAGTGTCACTATCTGTCAATACTTTATATATACAGTGTCACTGCCTACCAGTACTTTATATACAGTGTCACTGTCTGTCAATACTTTATATACACAGTGTCACTGTCTGCCAATACTTTATATACACAGTGTCACTGCCTGACAATAACTTTATATACAGTGTCACTGTCTGTCAATACTTTATATATACAGTGTCACTGCCTACCAGTACTTTATATACACAGTGTGTGTCACTGTCTGCCAATACTTTATATACATAGTGTCACTATCTGTCAATACTTTATATATACAGTGTCACTGCCTACCAGTACTTTATATACAGTGTCACTATCTGTCAATACTTTATATATACAGTGTCACTGCCTACCAGTACTTTATATACAGTGTCACTATCTGTCAATAATTTATATACACAGTGTCAGTGACTGCCAATACTTTATATATACAGTGTCACTGCCTACCAATACTTTATATACACAGTGTCAGTGTCTGCCAATACTTTATATACACAGTGTCACTGCCTGCCAATACTTTATATATACAGTTTCACTGCCTACCAATACTTTATATACACAGTGTCAGTGTCTGCCAATACTTTATATATACAGTGTCACTGCCTACCAGTCCTTTATATACACAGTGTCACTGTCTGTCAATACTTTATATATACAGTGTCACTGCCTGACAATACTTTATATACACAGTGTCACTGCCTGACAATAACTTTATATACAGTGTCACTGTCTGTCAATACTTTATATACACAGTGTCACTGTCTGCCAATACTTTATATACACAGTGTGTGTCACTGTCTGTCAATACTTTATATATACAGTGTCACTGTCTGCCAATACTTTATATACACAGTGTCACTGTCTGCCAATACTTTATATATACAGTGTCACTGCCTGCCAATACTTTATATACACAGTGTCAGTGTCTGCCAATACTTTATATATACAGTAACACAGCTTGCTGCTGCTCAATTTGTTCAGTGTTATTAATTGTAATTTAGTCAATTGTAGTAGTGACACTATGTATATAAAGTATACAGTGTCACTACTACAACTCACTAAATTTACAGTGTCACCACTACAACTCACTATATGCAGTGTCATCACTACAACTCACTATATGCAGTATCACTACTACAACTCACTATATACACAGTGTCACTAATATACAAATCACAGTGTATAAATAACTATACACAATATCACCACTACAACTCACTATTGTCTCAGTTTCTGATGGGTTGTGTTACTGTCTGCTAGTACCTATTAGTGTTTCAAATTTACAACATCCACACATGTAATGTCAGCATCTTATATACAGTAATAGTGCAGTGTGATTACCTTCAAGCCACAAGTACAAAGGCTCACACATGGCTAAACCAGGGACTGTCTGGTCCTTGCACTCTGTCTAGTTTTTACCCTCTGCCTGGTGCTGTCCTCTGCCTGGTCCTTGCCCTTTGTCCTTGTCCTCTACCTGTTGTTGCCCTCTGCTCGGTCCTTGCCCTCTGCCTGTTGTTGCCCTCTGACTTGTCCTTGCCCTATGCCTGGTCCTTGCAATCTGCCTTTTGTTGCCCTCAGCCTGGTCCTTGCCCTTTGCCTGTTGTTGCCCTCTGACTTGTCCTTGACCTCTGCCTGGTCCTTGCCATCTGCCTTTTGTTGCCCTCTGGCTGGTACTTGCCCTCAGCCTGGTCCTTGCCCGCTGCCTCTCTATTGCCCTCATCTTGGTGCCAGCCCGCTCCGGTTGTAGGTGGAAAGTCGGCGAGGAGCGGAGATGACCGGATTCCCAGTCTCACGCCATGCGAGATATTGCACTTACAGGAACTTAACCCCATCACCGCCTGCAGGCACGGTTCGAGTCGGCATGGGGCAGGCGGGTCCGGACAGGCAGGGGTTAATGTCTCCGAATTGCCTGAGCAGAGAAGTTATCCAGCCAATAATAAACAAGGTAGATTCCTGGATGATGTCAGAATTACAACTTCAACACTCCAAGAGGGAAAGGGGGAAATCTCAAAATCAGAGATCCGTCAGACAGCGAGAGGGATAGAAGTAGTGTGTGGGATAGAACTTCGCTATGGAATGGATGCTGCACGTTCCACACACAGGGTTCCAAGCTATATTCCACCACTGGGCGGCGACTGAGTCTCTGACCACTAGGGAGGCCACTGGGCAGGCTGAGCTCATAGGGGACATCCCTGAGTAATATGGAGCAAGTAGAATAAAGTGTCAAGTCAACTGCTTAGACCTGGACTGACTTCAATGAGGATCTGGCATCTGCAGAGATAAGACCCTGGCTATACAGAGAGCTCTGAGGAACACAATTAAACTCTGTTATCCTAAATGCAAGAATGTTCTTCACCTGACAACTTAGCAAGGACTCATTGCACAGGTTGGTAGCGGGAGGGGGTTTAAAGCCTTAGAGATAAATCCATATTCCAATAACCTAACATGAAGATAGAATAGAGGGGGACATGACATCAGATTTGTCAGCAGTTTCTATTGGGTAGATTTATAGATAGATAGATAGATAGATAGATAGATAGATAGATAGATAGATTTGAAATCTGTATTTGAAATAAAAGTTTGAGTGTTGCAGAACTTGATCTGACAATCAATGTGTTTAGAGCTTAACCCAAATTAATTTGGAATACAGAAACTGGACAGATCAGTGCTAAAGGGCTGACAATTCTATTGTTGATTGGTGATAGAGTTTAGCACAATAAATCTGTATGTGGTGGTAAAGGTGTATTTGTTTCAAGAACTCAAATATTAGTGTCTCATAATCACATATGATCTACTGGTCCTTTTTTCAGACTTAAATAATGAAGTAAAAAAAAAGAATATATTCAAAATATATGTATTCAGTTAATAAAGGTCATGAAAACGTTTTGATTTCTGGCTGAACAGAGTCTCCAAATTTATTCACAAGAATCGATTTTCAAGAAAAAGGTCTTATTTTTAACATTTTGTGTATTCAGGTCCAGTCTCTCATCCGTCCTAAAGATGTATGAAGTTCTTCCCATTCCATCCTTGAACAGTGTTCTTCTCTCCTTCCTGAGCATTCTAGCTGCTGTATACATATGGAAATGGATCAACGTCTGGATTATCCCCAGATTTTCTGGAAACTCTCCTTCACCACCTGGTCCTTTCCCATGGCCATTGATTGGCAATGCTTTGCAGCTAGGTAGTTCTCCTCATTTGTCTTTCGTGAGCTTAGCCAGGCGATATGGCGAGGTATTCCAGATCAAGCTGGGCAGCCAGAAGGTGGTGGTCCTCAATGGGGAAAAGATCATTCGCCAAGCCCTGCTGCGGAGGGGAGCAGACTTCGCTGGTCGTCCTGATTTTACATCCTTCCAGTTTGTATCAGGGGGACGAAGTTTGGCATTTGGTGCCTATAATGAGAGGTGGAAAGCTCATCGCAAAGTGGCCCATTCCACTGTGAGAGCCTTCTCCACTGGTAACCCCCAGACCAAGCAAAGCCTGGGACAACACGTTCTCAGTGAGACCAGGGAGCTCATTGAATTGTTCTCGGAACTTGGTCAGGGAGGTAAGTCCTTCTCCCCTGGAAGACATCTGGTGGTCGCCGTGGCCAACGTGATGAGTGCTGTGTGCTTTGGTCAGCGCTATAGCCATGGTGATCTAGAGTTCCAGTCTCTCCTAAGTAATAATGACAAATTCAGTAAGACTGTAGGGGCCGGCAGTCTGGTGGATGTAATGCCTTGGCTCCAATATTTCCCAAACCCAGTGAGAAATGTCTTCAGAACCTTCCAGCAGGTCAACCATGAGTTCTACAGCTTCGTCTACAGCAAGTTCCTCCAGCATCGCCATACAGTCATGCGGGGGGTTACCAGAGATATGCTGGATGCTCTCATTCACACCTTAATAGGGAAGGATGGCAACAAGGAGACAACTCAAAATGGAATAGAAAAGGAAGCGGGGGTTAAGAATGGCCAGCCAGGCAATCACTTGCTGGAGAGTGACCATGTTCCATCTACTGTAACAGACATATTTGGGGCCAGTCAGGATACCTTGTCCACAGCAATGCAATGGCTGTTCTTCTTCCTTATCAGGTAAGGACTCCTACCAGGACACATCCACATCAATACATTTCCAGAATGACATAGTGTAGTGCACATTATATTTTACTAATCAGATTGCAGTCCTATAGCCTTTTGTCAAGTGAAAGGGGCTTCCTGTTATTTTACATTGTGTATAAGCAGTTTTGTGTTAAATAGATGCAAACATTTGACCAGACACATAAAACCTAATGGAGCACCTCACAGATCATGTATATGGTTTTTATTTTGATCATACACATTAGTGTATGATCATCTACAGAGCATCTTTCCAATATTTAAAATATTCTGATCAATAGTGGGCCTTGTTTGGGAATGTTTTCACATTACACAATGCTGATACATTGTGGTTTGATTGACAGCACCTTGACACAGCATGGAATGACCATTTTGAAAAAGAGGGGTTTTATATGGCGTCTCACCAGTGGCTAGTCTGTGGCAGAGATGTCTGAGTCTGTGTTTGTGAAAGCAAGCTATGCTATGACTCACAGATTTCTGAGTATATGGACTTCAAATGTTATGAGTTGTATCACCTGCACAGATCAACGAGACCTGTGCATGGGTAAGGAGATCTCTATTCCCTGTGGCTCCACTTCCATCAAGGAAAGTTGGTACATTGATGAGTGGAAATAGCCATGACTAAAATAGTGATCAAAGTAAATAACTTCAGGGATATCATTTATGGTCTGATAGCATGATGTGCCTTATGTAATTTTGTTTTGGAGGAATGACAATGCAGGTCATCAGCCTAGCCATGTAGTGTTTGGGTGACACCTGGCCCCAACTCAAACCTTCCCTACCTCTTCGGTGTGCTTGGGAGTGTGTGAGGCAGCACATGTGTGATGGGAGTTGTATGTGGAGCAGGCACAGGTGCATAATGGGAAATATTACTTCTAAGACTTTCCAGTATTCTGTTCACTTATTCCCTATTTTATTTTATTTTATTTTTTTTTAGCAAATATCTGTTTGTGAAGACTTACTAATGACAATTAAAGAAAAACATGAATATTAGATTTACAAGTAGAAATCTACACTGCTCTTGGTATTTCTACTCTTATAAGTATAATTTATTGAGACTTAAAAAAAAATAAAATAACACATAATATACAGTGCACAGTTCAAAATACAATAGCCAGATCACAGTCTTGTTGATGATTTCTTGATCTGGCATCTTAATTATATAATAAAAATGGAATGTTTATATTTATCCCAGATATTTTATCTTCTCCTTTGTTCATTCCTCCATACCCTCATTCATACAGTGTTCAACATATTCAGCATAAGACCTTAATGATTTAAAAGACGATTTGTAATAACTCTATATTGGTATAGTGGTAGGGGAAAGGTTATCTGCTACAATATAATATATAATTAAGTATATTGTCCCTCCCCTGCGTCCACTCCATGAATAGTCAAGAGCCTGTCACAGCGAGCATCAATCTCACAGGAAATTATTTTTCTGCAAAGATTTTAAACCATGGTGTCCAGATTTTATGATATGAGGTTAAATTATTATTAATCGCGTAAAAGTAATATTCCATTTTTCCTTGATATGAAATCTGTGCCCAGTCTAGTGGATTTAGTTTTCGCCATTCTCTGGTTATACATTTTATTTATAGCTAATAAGATGTTACTTATTAGACTTATGATATTTTTTGTCAAATTTATGTAGTTCTAAGTGAAAAAAAACATACATGTGATCTCTGTGTAAACCCGTACTGGAGAATTTTTTATATAATTTTTTCTGTTTATTTTAATATTTTAATTATTAATATTTTATATTTAATCTTCTGCAGTTTTAAACATTCCCACCAAATGTGATATGGAGTGCCCAGAAACTGGTTGCACCTCCAGCATAGATTTATAATTGTTTTATCAAACTTACTTAAACGTAAGGGATCAGGGTACCATCTATGTATTAATTTATAGAATGTTTCCTGTAGGTTAACTTAATACACAGATTTTTCATCCTCCAGCCAGGTTTATACCAATCCTGAGAAGGAATATGGGTATTTCTTCTCTTGAAGAAGGCGTCTTGGCTCCTTGTTAATCTTTGTTAGAAAGCTCTGTACATTGTCTGTCACTGAACAATAGTAATTAGAGGATGAGAAAAATAAATAGTATTTCTGTTTCTCGTCTTTCAAAGCAATATGTGCCCTGAACAACTGAATTGGATTGTGGTGTCATTGCTAAATCTTTAATATACCTTTAAAGGAAAAGATCATGATCCAATAAAAAGTTTAACAAAAGTAATATGTTTCTGTTAATTCAATGATATAACTCCCAGATTAGTAAGAACTCCAATTTAAATAAAAAATACTTGAATCGTTCATTTCATTTTTCCTTGGACATTTTAGGTATTTGGGATTTTTGTATGTCTCAAATTGAATTTCCTGGTAATTATATTTTAAGCACTTTGTTTATGATTTTTGGGGAAATTGGAACTGTACATTTACAGGGTTATAATGTAGTAACATGGCGAAATAGGTTGACAATACTCAAATTAATTTTAAGAAGAATGTCTCTGGCTTCCAATGTGCCTTAAGCAGCAGAACTCACTAGTAGTGATACCCCTGTTTGCAGTGCCAAGTTTTAACTCAATAAAGATACCATTTCAGTTTCATTAACCACATCCTGTGGAGGAATTTATTTGGAACACCTACTTCCCCCTTATCTAATAAAAACCCTCAAAACCCCAAATCAATTAGATTGTATAAAAAGAATAATAAAAAAATAGACCCTCCCAACTCAGTGTGTACATGAGAAATTACATACACTTTCAACTTCAGTTCAAGCCACTTTCATACTTTTAGTGCTGGCATCTTCAGTACCTTCAAAGCCAATAATACAAATTCCTACTCCCTAACAGCCCCCTCTCGCCCTGTAAGTATTAAAAACATTTGACAGTGGGTTGACGGCTTATCCCACCCTGACAACCACAGACAGAGATCTAGAAGTTCTGGGTAATGTAGTGGAGGTAGAGAGAAGCATCTGATGAACCTCAGGATAAGAAGTGAAACCATTCTAAAATGAGTTGACTAATTACAAATGGGTGAGCGCCTCTGTAGTGGTTATGGTACTTGGAGTTTTGCTTTATGGTTGGCTCAAGATTACTATTTTTCAGGTTGGCAGTATCCAGTATTTCCTCCAATTGACTATTTTTGAGTAGAAGGAGAATTGTTTATTTTTTTAGCACCTGGCTGGAATCAATCTGAAACCGTTTTTCAACTACCACTTGTTTAAAAGCTTAAATGAACACCATAGTGTTAGGAATACAAACATCTGCAGGAGAAGCAGTTTAGGTCCCCGGTTCCCCTCAAAATGTAGTTAATAGGTTTTAAGCATACCTTTTCTCCATTGCCTCGCCAGTCTTGTCACTGATGGCCCTGCCTTCATGGCTAATATCATCAATCTTGATGATCTTAGCCAATCCAATGCTTGGATGCATTGGGAGGCTGTTGCGCATACGCAGCAAAATGCAGCACTGCGTTAATCAGCATCTCCTCATAGAGTTGCATTGAATCAATGATTCTCTATGGGGAGCGTTCAGAGTCTCCATGCACGATACACAAAGGCACTAAAATAGGGAGCACCTCTAGTGGCAGTCTGAGTGACTGCACCAATTGTGTTACTAGGCAGCAATGTATAGAACAGTAACTCATTTCTTTGGATCTCTAGTCTGCTTTTACTCTGCTCTAAGAATACTATATGCAACGATTTACTTTGTAGTTAGTGTCATCTTTGTTTATACTTCTTATTATCTTATTAACAGATGGGATAAGTAAAGCATGAAACAAAATCTAGTTTGCCAGACAAATATAACCCCGAAAAAAAAAATATATCAGTAAATAAGTAAAAAAAACGAAGACAGATTTGAAAGCCCTGTCTGCAGCCTCACAATCTAAAGGGAAATAGGACTAGTGAGGGTCAAATGTAGATAATAATGCAAAGGTCAAGAAAAGAGAATGTGCTGACTGTATAGTATATATTTTGTAAATATATGTGATGGGGTCAGTGGAGTCATATGTAAGTCTCTTTTAAGAGAAGGGTTTTTTAGGGAGTGTTTGAAGATAATGCAGCAGTCGAAGATTACTTGGTTTCAGTGATAGGAAAAGTGGGAGAGAGAAGAATTGATAAGAAAAGTATAAAGCCTTTGAACAGAGTGGCTATTACAATGTTATCTGTATTTTAAATAATATGTAATATTATTAAAGCATATTCCATGTTATGTAGTTCTGTAGTTCTGTACTTTCTGATTGATGTCATATCTTACCTTAAGAACTAAGTACATATTTCCAAATAAGGGAACATTTAAATAAAAAAAAATATTGGAAAGTAGTATCTGCTTGGGAAATATTGTATAAGCCAAACATTTTTCTCACCGATAAGCGAGTTGAGCAAAATTGCTCCCAAATGCAAATATATTTTGCCAACATGATTTCTCATGGGCAGTGTCATTACTATAAAATTAACTACCTTGATCTTATAGACTTCCCCTAAATCAATTTAGAACCCCCTCAATACTTGTCTCTTTGGAAAAGATTATCATCTTCCCAAATAGATTATCTGTTTACACCAGACTTTCCTAATATAACTGATGACTCCACAGCCTATTTCACTCTCTCACAGTTTCCTATACACAGGGAAACTATCTTTTAGTTAAAGTTGTCTCTCTAACTTGTTGCTCTTGCTCCTATAGAAACATAGAATGTGACGGCAGATACGAACCATTCGGGCAATCTAGTCTGCCCAATTTTCTAAATACTTTCATTAGTCCCTGGCCTTATCTTATAGTTAGGATAGCCTTATGCCTATCCCATGCATGCTTAAACTCCTTTACTGTGTTAACCTCTAAAACTTCAGCTGGAAGGGTATTCCATGCATCCACTACCATCTCAGTAAAGTAATACTTCCTGATATTATTTTTAAACCTTTGTCCCTCTAATTTAAGACTATGTCCTCTTGTTGTGGTAGTTTTTCTTCTTTTAAATATAGTCTCCTCCTTTACTGTGTTGATTCCCTTTATGTATTTAAATGTTTTTATCATATCCCCCGGTCTCATCTTTCCTCCAAGCTATGACCTTACATGTCACCTCCTTTAGTTTGTAAGCTCATTGGAGCCAGCCCATATTCACATCTTGTTTCTGTTCATTTTACTTTTTAATTTTTTCTTATATTTCATTTGTAAATCTTGTAAAGTGCTGCACAATATGTCATCAGTATATAAATGACAATAATAATAATTTTGTATTATATAGTACTATGTATACTATAGATTCTTAGTAAATTTACAAAATGTGATTATGTTAGCATGAAGCCAGACAAGATAAGAATAATGCATAAAATCATTATATGTTATCACTGCTTTGATTACGAGGATCCACACATCCTGTATGTATTTTGTTTATTGATAAATGTACCCCCAAAGGTAGTTTTTAACCCTAATTATTTGTAGGGTGAACCACAGACGGGAAAGATGTCCTAAGAGTTTCTACGTTCAGTACGAGTATACATTGTTATTATAACAGATACACCCCCCTCTCATATCTTTCTGTATATGAGCCATAAGATCAATTCTTTTTTCAATTCTTGAAACACAGCTGGAACTCTCCTAGGTCTTATATTTATTTATTATTGCTATTTATAAAGTGCACACAGATTCCGCAGCGCTGTACAATTAGTTGAGAAACGTACAACATACACAAACAAATACAAGAGGTAAGAGAGCCCTGCCCGTAAGCTGATATCTAGCCATTGGAGCTCTTTTATACAAAGTGCTTAGCTAGATGGCCCGTGAGCTTACAATCTAAAGGCCACTGTACAGCAATACCTAATGATAAATGAATGAGGATCACAACCAATAAAAACTATATGATCTTTATTGAATAAATACAAACTTGTATATTATACCTGTGTGTAGATGACAGTATAGCATCAAACTAGATATCCTACCTAGACAGTAACAATGTATACATAGGTCATATAGATCAAGAAAAAATAAATAAACAAAATGACCTGATTGGAAACTACAGCAAAAAATGTGACCATCAAAGAAAAGAAAAAATATGAGACCATCAAAAATTTGGTTTGGTCAAATCATTTTTTTCTGAAAATGAAATTTAGTTTGACACCTCCAACATTCGTTCATGTTATACAAATGATAAAAATGTTTGGGAAACTGTTTTAGACAAACCAAAATGGCGTGAACATGGGTCAATATTGCAACATACATACATATATCGGTTCACAGATCAAGTGAGAGAGATTAACAAATTGAGGGAAAAACAGGAGTGTTAGAAAAATTTATATTTATATATTCATTAAATATATAACAAATATAGTTTTTTTTTATTGCTACTCATTTTCCCCCTCTTTTGGTCACTTAATCTGTGAATAAAATCAACATTTAGTGGCTGCCCGTTAGTCATCAATTATCTTTTTTTTCCAATTAATCATCTCTTTTTTTAGTCCCACTGAGGGAACTCCAAACTCTTGAAGCAAATTAACTTGCTCATCTATTAAGCTAGTCCTTTGCTTGGTTATACACCCTGTTCCAAATTATAATGCAAATTCTATTTAAGTGTCACAAAGATTAAATATTTTGTTTTTCAGTTTAACTCATGGATGGCATTGTGTCTCAGGGCTCTTTTGATCACTGAAAACAATCTCGGACATCTGTGATAATTAGATTGCCAGGTGAGTCCAATTTAAGGAAAAACTACTAAAGGAGGGTGTTCCACATTATTAAGCAGAGCACCAATTTAATGCAATATGGGGAAGAAAAAGGATCTCTCTGCTGCTGAAAAGAGTGAAACAGTTCAATGTCATGGATGAAGTATGAAAACATTAGATATTTCACAAAAACTTGAGCGTGATCATCGCACTATTAAGAAATTTGTGGCTGATTCAGAGCACAGACAGGTTTGTGCAGATAAAGGCACATTGAGGAAGATTTTTGCCAGATCCATGCATCAGATCAAGAGAACAGCTGCTAAAATACCATTACATAGCAGCAAACAGATATTTGAAGCTGCTGGTGCCTCTGGAGTCCCATGGACATCAAGGTGTAGCGTCCTCCAGAGTCTTGCAACTGTGCATAAACCTTCTATTCGGCCACCACTAACTAATGCTTACAAGCAGAAATGGCTGCATTGGGTAGAAAAATACATGAAAATGAATTTTCAGACAGTTCTGTTCACTGATGAGTGCCGTGCAACCCTGGATGGTCCAGATGGATGGAGTAGTGGATGGTTCCACTGTTCCAACAAGGCTGCGACATCAGCAAGGCAGTGGTGGAGTCATGTTTTGGGCCAGAATCATAGGAAGAGAGCTGGTCGGTCCCCGAAGGTGTAAAGAGGACCTCTGCAAAGTATGTGGAGTTTCTGACTGACCACTTTCTTCCCTGGTACAGAAGGAAGAACTATGCTTTCCGTAATAAAATCATCTTCATGCATGACAATGCACCATCTCATGCTGCAAAGAATACCTCTGCATCAATGGCTGCTATGGGGATAAAAGGAGAGAATGTCATGGTCATGGTGTGGCCTCCATCCCCTGACCTCAATCCTATTGAGAACCTTTGGAGCATCCTCAAGCAAAATAAAAAGTTTACATCCAAACAGCAGCTCTGGGGGGCTATTCTGACATCTTGCAAACAAATTCAAGCAGAAACTGTCCAAAAACTCACAAGTTCAATGGATGCAAGACTTGTGAAGCTGCTATGAAATAAGGGGTCTTATGTTAAAATGTAACGTTACCTGTTAAAATGTTTAAAAAGTTAAAATGTTGTTATAAGTTTGATTGAAATAGCTTTTGATTTAAGTAAATATGCTGCAAACACAACAAATTACAATTTTCAGTTCTTTACAACCTATAAAGTGTTTTGAAACTTAGTGTGCATAATAATTTGGAACAATGCATTGTAAGTTTTTTATGTTTAAAAAAAATATTGTTATCATTAGGAGGTTAGTTCAATAAAATTTGAATTGTACTCTTAATAGCTGATAACATGAGAATTATGCTGACTGTTATTTACATCAATTATTTAGGTAAATGAGAAAAATATTATTTGCATAATAATTTGGAACAGGGTGTATATCTGTATGGTGATTCAGATATACAAGAATTGACAAACTGCCAATTAGCCCGAAATTGGACGCATTTTAATTTGTCTTAAGCTGAATGCACAAGTCTACCATCTATCATCATCATTCAGAGCTAATACAGCATCAGGATTGAATAGGTATACCACACACAGAGGTAGAAAGATCCAGCGCGCACTATGTTAAAATAAGGATCTGATCGGCTGTTTGGAACCAGCACCTTCCCATTTCTCCCTTGTAGTTGGTTGACACAGGGAAAGAGTTAAAGGTCCACACTGAGGGAGGGGTCTATTCCACTATTGTAATCTCTCCTTCAGCATTTAATACATGCTGACGACAGACTTTTCTTTTGCACAGATTTAACTTGTACCAGCTTAGAACTCTTGCCAATAATGCTATTGAAAATGGATTTAAACCTCTGGCAGTGAAACTAAATATCTATTTAGTTATTTTATAAAGTGATAAAGTGATAAAGGGAGATATATCAATGAATACATCAGCATTTTCTGTTCATATATTAAAAAAGCAGTGTGGGATAACTTTTTCTTTACCTTTCACCATTTTCTGTTACCTTGTTTTATAAGTTAATAATTTAAATACTTGCCATAGTGTCTTTTTAATATTCAAATCAGCCTATCACTAGGAATTATCTGCTCCAAAGCAATTTCAAGGTTGCCAAATTCCAGGGCCATTTGTCTTGATAGTCCGCTTCCTGAGTAGTATTTCAGACAATAAATCGACAATGTTACGTAGAAGAAGAGATGAAGAAAAAAAATAGTGTAGTGAGTTTTAGAAGGTTGAGAATGGCAATTTATAGTACAGTATTGTAATGGTAAATTGAACCATATTTTGTGAAATCCTCCAAATTGTATTTGTAGATAAAATTGTTCATTGTAAATTAAGCATCTTTTTAATGTTTCCTCCCTGGGATGAGGGCATATAAATGTAAGTCTTTTACGTAATAAAAATGTAATTAATTGTTGTCCTTCTGGTTCTAGTACAAAATAGTAATATTTGAATATGCCTTTTTGTTAACCCCTTGCATGCTCGGGGACTCAATCAGGGTTACATTCTAAAGTGAGAATTCTAAGTGGATTCAAAGGGAATTTCAATTTTTTAAATTTTTTATTCTTTGTTTTAGTTGTGCTTTTGAGTACAAGGATGTTTACCATGTCACAACAACAGTAGTATGCAATCATGTCATGAAATACAGGTAAACAGAGGTTGGACATTTGCAGAAACAGCACATTTTTAGAAATTAGGATACAGGCTAACTCTAAACTAAGATGCCATGTCTAAGATGGTGAATAATTTTACAATAGACTTTCTTTGCATATTCCAGGCTAAAGATACATGTCTAGGTTGGCAGCATGGCTTGTTGGTACGGTGAGCTTAACTATCTAGAGTGATGAGAGGAAAAATAAAAATAAGAGAAAGGAAAATTCACTATTGTAATCAAGTGTACCTTACAGAAACAAGAAGTAGGAATTAGGTTGCATAAATTAGGGCACAATTACCTCTCAGATGAGAGCAGAATGCTCCTGAAATAGCGGCCACCAAGAAAACCGCCTAAAGCTTAGCGAATTTTAGCAATGAGTGACAGTTAACATGAGCAGGGAGTGCCCCTCTAGTTTAAGCTAGCCAGTCCCTTAAGGAATGCACTCGGGCCGTGACCACAGTGATGTCCTCTCGAATAATATCAAGGTCAGCATTAAAGAAGGCGCAAATATTATTCATGAGGGTCTTTATGTCCCCTTTTGTGGCTGGGGCTGATAAATCCTCTGTTAGTGGTGTGGATATATGACCCACTGTTTGGAGGATTTTTTTCAGGGGCATCCATGACTTAAAGCTCAGAGGAAGACTAAGGAGAGTCGAGTGGCGCCGCCATTTTAGGTCTAGGCCTCTGTTGCAGGAGGTCACTAATATTGCGGGAGCCTTCCCCGTTCAGGGTTTTCAGCTTTTTAGTTCTCATTCCCATATCTGGTAATGGTGTTGGGCTTGGTATCTTCCGAGATCGGGTTGTTAAATGCCTTGCGGTTTAAATCTGTGGGATATACAGCGGAAGCTCAGCCACCATGCGTCTTTTCCCTTCGGTGTCCAGGTTACGCCCCGGGAATTTCAATTTTAAAGCCAAAATAGCTGAACTGAAAGCATAGTTGACTTCAGATGTTCAAGTTTGTGCAAAGTGACACTCCACTGCCCAGATACAAAATATAAATAAATAAATAAAATCCACTGTTTAGTTAATATAGCCCAAATGAAAACATGTATACATGCCATTGTACATTATTTTCAAACTTTTAGGTAATAATGTAAGTAGCATGCCACAGAGTTTAAAGACCCCTGGGTCCCATAGGAAACCAAAAGAGATGGTGGTATAAGAGTAACCTCCAAAGTAGTGGCATTTCAGCATTTAATATGCAAAAGAGGCTTACCCAGACCCCAAGTAGAGATCAACTAACACCCACCAGGTGCAGGACACAGTCCCACAACTCAGAATTAGGCCTTATGTTCCTCCACCTCCACGTCGGCAAACTCAACAAACATGATCCAATCCTTGGCCCTGACATCGCCGAGCTACAATTTAAGCCATGGACCAAGTCCCAGAGTACCGGAGATTATTCCATCATCACAACCAGAATGCAGTGTATGCTTTAGCATTTGGGATAGCTGAGATATAGTGGTAACCCTGATGGGTCGTAGATGCTTCTGTTCTAATACAGGGTCCCTTTCTTGAACAGGAGCTACTGACTGCCAGGGAGCATGTTGATGTGGGCGCTGCTGTATAATAAGTAACTCAGGTGCCTGGGTATGATGTCTACTGGCAAGTTTAATCCAGAAATCTTTAACTATTTTGTGGAGCCCAGCCGTGTGATATGCCTGTAAGCTTCTTGTGCTTGAAAGGCACGTGGCATCTGTCATTTTAGATGGGATGGTGTACTCCACCTCTCTCTTCTCCTCAATGTAGCAGGACCAAGGGTGATGAGCGCAGGACTAAACCCCCCAGCATCAAGCGCTGGGGAAGTGGGCTAATCACAGAGGCTAAATTTTCAGGCAGACCGAGGGTAGAGAGAGATCACCCCCACCAACGCCACTAGGAAAGCTGTGTGTAGATTGCAGAACTGCCCAAATTGGATTGCACTCCAACTAGGCCATAGAAACCTCGAAGAGCAGGTATGTTGAGCCCGCAAGCTGTATCATTGCTCTAGTAGCTTCATGGCTAGAAATTGTGCACAGAAACTCCAATATTTTGTCAAAAAAATCAAGTTTTTTCACAAAGCTCAACCAACGTGTGAATGTTCATATGCCAAGTGAATCTCTCAGTGTCTTGGTGAGGTTGCTATGGCAATTAATTGGAAACTGTGATTTTTTTTATTCTCTCATTCACAGTATGGTAAATGCTGGTGGTCGGTATCCATGAAGTCAGACATAAATTTCATGCAGATTTTAAAAGCCAAGTTGGAAACCTGTCGGTATTTTTAGCTCCAAGCAACTGCTGGTTGTTACTGGCTATTAACAATCTTAACTGATGCATTTTATCTACAAACATGGAACCAACTCTTTAATATTTACAACTTGTTGAGTAACCTCTTGGTTTTAAAATCAATTCTATGCCTTATTAGCTAAAGGCACACTACAGACCCCTAAAGCACTTTAGCTTGCTCAAAAGCTGTAGGTGTGAAAAGTGTGTCGTCTTTATTTCAGTTGGCAAAAAGTGCAGATTTCAATAGAAATTGACACTTTTACAAATTTACCTGGTTTCACCTCCTTGGCTTTCAAGCAGGCAAATGTCCTGGTACTTCCTGGTTTGGTTAGCTCAGTGGAGCTAAACTCAAGAGGCAGCAACAGCTCAGAGCACCTGTTTTGCAATGACTTCTCATTGGGCTGCATTGGAAAGTCTGTAATTGGACAGCTACAGAAAGTCTGTGCCAGGTTAGAAGAAGAGGGTTGGCAAAGGCAGCAGACAAGAGAACTGCAGGTTCTGCTTTGAAATATACCATCAATGAAAAAAATCACAATTAAAGGCATGCAAGTTTTCATTTAGGGTATATCTATGAAATTGTGATTTTTTAAAAAAATTATTTGTATTTGGGCAGTAGATTGTCCCTTTAACATCAATGATTGTGGAGATGTTTTTTATATAAAAGATTTGTGTAGAGGCCTATAATGAAGGGCCCACCCACAACTGCATTGCAAATTATTGATTTAGGTTGGAGTCAAGCAATAAGTGAATGAGGCTAAATAGAGTTAATTTCCTCCAGAGGACAAGAATGAATCCCCATTGTTTGGCAAGGGAAAATGCTAAGTTAAAATTGTCAAAACGTGCAAATGGTGGATATGTTTATTCAAAATTGCAAAGAATATATGTGAGTATAATTCTATATACGCTGGAATTTTCTAACTCACTCACCCAACTAGTGTTTTAGAAAAGATTAACTCTTAAAGTTAGTTTTTTGGTAAAGTACAGTGCTTAGAGCAGTCTGAACCCGCTCTAATTACTGAGCGAGGGTTATAATATCTTTTAAAAATCAATGGTAACCTGTAATACAAACAGAGTCATTGACTAAAGGGAGAATACCAAGTGAATTTCAATCTAAGGTAGCTGACGTAAAAGCATAGCCGAGTTAGATCTTTTTTGCAATTTGGCTATTGTGACCATAAATCTGAAAGTCACTTTGATTTCATTTTGAATTCTCACTTTAATGATTAGACCTGTTAATTCCAATTTGTCAGTGTCAATTGTGTTTCTTTTGCGCATGCAAAAACGCTGTGATTGAGCACAGCTGTGTATGTGTCAGCAACAGAGAGTAAAATGACTGAGCTCACATTTGGCCATGATAACTAATGAAGAATATATGGATCTCAGAGGAAAACAGAAAGTTACATTAACCAAATGCTATGTAAAAAAATAAAACTATTACTGCATTGCGGTTACGTTATAGGTGTGACCACTTTGCTCCTGAAGTTGGTAGAGCTGCTGTCTTTGTCAATCCCCTCCATTATCTCAATAATGCCATTAAAAAGGCCCCCTAAACTTTCTGAAAGATTCCTTTTAACTTACTTAAATGAACACTACAGTGTCAGAAAAAACAAATGTGCATTCCTGAATCTATAGTGTTAAAAAGCCAGACCCCCTCCCTTACCCCCTTAAAAAGAGCAAAAACTCACCCTATTTCCATCACTGCATGGGTCTGCCACAGATGGCTCCACCCCCGCTCCACCTCCTTGGCTGAGATCATCAAAACTGACAATCTCAGCCAATCTAATCCTTTCCCATGTGCAGCACTGACCCGTCTGAGTGACTGCCACTAGATGTGTTCCTAGGCAGTAATATAAACACTGCCTTTTCTCTGAGAAGGCAGTGTTTACATTAAAAAGTATTTAGGGACCTGCTTTACAAACCAGAACAACTACAATAAGCTGTCGTTGTTCTGGTGCCTATAGTGTCTCTTTAGAAACATACTAACTTGCATTGAATTAAAGGGATCCTATAGTGCCAGGAAAACAACCCGTATTCCTGGCATCATAGGGTTACTAGTTCCCCCCCTCCCTCGAGCCCCCCACCCCGTTGTCCCTCGGCGCTGGGTCAGGCTCCGCTCACACTCCACTCACGCTCCTCCCCTGCCGACGTCAGCCATCTGAAAAAAATCTGAAAATCTGCCGCTGGAGGTCTGTGAGGACGTCCAGCATCAGATAACGGACCAAAAGTCCATTTAGATTCTGGAAGCGCCCCTGGTGGCTGTCTGGTAGACAGCCATTGGGGGCAGACTAAGAGCTGCAATGTAAACATTGCAGTTCTCTGGAACTTCAATGTTTTACATTACAGCACTAGGTGCAAAAGGGTCACAGCACCCATTTAATTCAATTAACTGAAGTGGTCTGGGTGCCTACAGTGTCCCTTTAACACACAGTAGTAATATGATATCTTTATTCATTTGCATTAGCAGCCATAGCAGAGTCTCTGAACAGGAAAAAGCACCCCAAAATAATATCCACTCCGCAAAAATAATTAAATCATCAGTTCACAGTGTTGGATCCAGCACACACTGTGTTAAAGGAATACAAACATATATTCTTGACACTATAGTGCTGATGTTGCTGTTATTCTCTGTGCAGTAAAAGGTGATTTTTTACTTCACCTCCATTGCTGAGATCATCACTCTTGATGATCTCAGCCAATCCAATGCTTTCCCATAGGAAAGCATTGGGAGGCTATTGCGCATGCGAGGCAAATGACCATACACTAAAACACCATACTACACCAACCAGCATCTCTTCACAGAGTTGCATTGAATCAATGCATATCTATGGGGAATGTTCAGTGTCTCCATGCAGAGCGCAGAGACGCTGAACGCCTGTAATGCACATTTTGCAGCACTAGACTAGGAAACACCTCTAATGGCGGTTTGAGTGATACCCCTACTCTCCCCACACACAGTACCCCTTACCCCCACACACAGTACCCCTACCCTACCCCCCCACACACAGTAACCCTACCCCCTCACACACAGTACCCTTACCCCCACAATACACAGCACCCCTCCCCCCACAACACACACACAGCACCCCCCCCCACAGCACAGCACCCCTACCCCCCACACAGTACCCCCCCCACACACAGTACCCCTACCCTACCCCCCACACACAGTAACCCTACCCCCTCACACACAGTACCCTTACCCCCACAACACACAGCACCCCTCCCTTCTCACACACACACACAACACCCCTCACACATAGCACCCATCACACACACAAACACCACACACACAACACCCCTCACACACAACACCCCTCACACACACACAACACCCCTTACACACACACCCCTCACACACACAAAAGCAGTCTGTGTATGTGTATGTATTCAGCAGTCTGTGTGTATGTACTCAGCAGTCTGTGTGTGTGTGTACTCAGCAGTGTGTGTATTCAGCAGACTGTGTGTGTGTGTATTCAGCGGACTGTGTGTGTATGTATTCAGCAGTCTGTGTGTATGTACTCAGCAGTCTGAGTGTGTGTACCTCAGTATTCAGGTTTAATTGCCGTGTTGGCACTTTGAGGAAAAAAAAGTTGGCATGTATTGCGGTTTGGGCACTCAGGCTCAAAAAGGTTCGCCATCACTGAACTATATACACTATAGTGTCCCTTTATGTTAATAAAATGTAAAGATCCCAATTAAAATTTACTGTAGGCCCTATAGCCATTGCATCTTATTGTAGCGTTTATGGTGCTATGAAGCAGTCTTTGAAAATTTACAGCAAAATATCAGACTATATATCAGAGCTGTCCTGTGAGTGTACACACGCATCTGCAAATACATATCCATGTCCCTAGCTGACTCAAAGAGCACTCACTTAGAGTCAGCTAAGGGCATGATATTGTTATGCTTTCATGAATAATAAACCTTTTCTTTTTTGCTTTTCTTCAAGTGACTGGTTTACTTTAAAGGACTTTTTGTTATTTTATTTTAGGAACCAAGCTAAATATGCTATGAAACACACATTGGGCAAAAGTGTGTGTAAAAAGCATATTTTTTTTTATCATCAAAATTAACATTAGGCTTCTAGAAACTCCACATGTTAAGGAGAAATCCACTGACAAATGAATATTTCCTCCTAGCAGAGATTGCGTGACTTGCTGTGAAGGTACAGAGAATGGGTGGGCCTATTGTACAGCCTGTATACATTTCAAACCCTTCCAGGAAGCCTGCTTTGACACAGGCACATGGAGTACTCAGCATAATGTTGACGTTTAGAGTGGAAGTGGTGTTTTGTAATGCCAGGGGCTAAACTACTTCTTTGGTTTGTCTCAGCAAGCCTTTATTGGTGTTTTGCAGCTCAAAGTGATACAGTCACACACCTTCATTGAAGAGAAACAATACCATTTTTTTTTCTAAATCACACACAAAGCGTCATGCACTGTCTGTAAATGACAATTATAACACATTTTTTTTTTCTTGTGTCTGTGAATTGTTTGTCTGTTTATATACCCATAGTCCATGTGCTATCTGACATTATACTGGAGCAAATTGTTCAAACTGTGCCTTTTACTGCCCAGATTGCCAAATAAATTAAATAGTACATATATATGGTAACATTAAAAAATTAGTTTGTGCTAAATATTCCTTATATTATTTAATTTACATAATTGATGCCTATATTTCAGATAGACAAAGAGGGACACTTTCATTTCAGGGGTGTGAGTGGGGGTGTGGCCAGGAGTGGGGCTGTTCTGAGAAATTTTAGGTGACTTACTAATAACAATTTGTGCAACTAAAATTTAATTTAGAACGAGAACAATGTATCTTATTTACACAGACTGATTTCTAAACACATTTATTGTATTTCAATGACCCTTTACTGGGAGTATTATTGCTGCAGAGCTCTATTATACACTCTTACACACCAACAAAATGGAGCTCCTAGAAAAGAGGGACACATGCTTCTATATTCATAACTGACAACAGGGCCGCCATCAGGGGGTGACAACCATGACAGTTGTCACGGGCCCGGCGGTCCTGGGGGGCCCGGACTGCACAGGTATTCCTCTGCATGCCCGGGCCCCAAGCCCTTCAATCTGCATATATATATATATAGCGAGTACTGCTACGAATATATGCCTCTGAGGGCACAGGATATACTTACCTTCGCCTCCAGCACTCTCGCGAGCCATAGCAGTAAAGCGTTGCTGCGGGTTGTCATGACAACGCTCCGCGGCACACAATGCATGCTGGGCTCGCGTCAGAAATAGAGCACTGGCTGGCAGGAGGGAGAACATGGAGTGAGTCTGCTGGGCTCCTCCTTGCTGGCCCAACAAGCGGAGCCACCGAACCACCAGGGAATCCAGTGTCCCCCCTCCCTGGCTACAGGTAAGAGGCAGGGAGGGGGGAATACATCTTTTATTTTTTTTTTATTATAAAAATTCAACATAAAAAAATACCTCCCAGCAGCATGTGTCACACATCCACCACACACATACATCAAACAGACAAAATGCATACACAACCACACACATCATACACCACATAAACACACAAACTGCATCCACTACACAACCATACACATCATTCCCTACACAACCACACACATCATGCACTACATAAACACACAAACTGCATCCACTACTCACACACACACACACACATCATACACTACACAACTATACACATCATCCACCACATAAACACACTAACTGCATCCACTACACAACCACACACATCATCCACTACATAAACACACAAACTGCATCCACTACACAACCACATACACATCATCCACTACACAACCACACACCATCCACTACACAACCATACACATCATCCACCACATAAACACACCATAAACCACATAAACACACAAACTGCATCCACTACACACATCATCCACTACACAAACACACACTCTGCATTCAATATACACACACTACATCCACTACACATACACTCTGCAGTCACTATATACACACTACTTCCACTACACAAACACACACTCTGCATTTACTATACACACAAACACTACATCCACTACACAAACACACACTCTGCATTAACTATACACACACACTATATCCAGTACACAAACACGCAATCTACATTCACCATTCACATACTACATCCAGTACACAAACACACAAACTGCATTCACTATACACACAATACATCCACTAAACACACACACTCTGTCCACTACACAAACATACAATCTGAATCCACTATAAACAGCGTATCCACTTTACTCACGCACTTTGTATCCACTACACAAATTCTTAAGCCACTATTCACACACAAACAAATTCAGTACACACACACTTCATCCTTGTGGGTGGACTTAAGATGGGCCCTGTGGTAGATTTGGGGGTGGGTCATGTGGACAGACTTGGGGCAGGTCATGTGGACTGACTTTGTGGTTTAATTGGCTATTGGGCATGCTATGGCATTGACATAGGCTTACTTACCAATATATAGTAAAAAACAAAGAAAAGAAAAAGTTACCTGCGCTCTCTCCTTAATCCCTATGTATATTTAGACAAATGGAGGTCATTTAGTTGCTCCAATGGCCATTGGAGGGAATGCCCATCTGCCAACGTCAAGGCAGACCCCCCTAAGCGGGTCCTAACACTGACCCTTCAGCCTGCTTCCTTGAGCTTCTGGCAAAGATATCTCTAATGAGACAGAGAGGGGTATTTTTTATATACACCCCTATATACTCATTAACCCTTAATAGGGAACATGGTATGGGCGGCAGCATTGTAAAAAGGCTGTGTGATAGAAAGTAAATACAAATACAAAAAGAGAAGTCCTGCGCTCACTCCCATCACTACTGGACTGAAGGGTCAGTGTTAGGACCTGCTTAGGGGGGTCTGCCTTGACGTTGGCAGGCTGCATTCCCGCCAATGGCCATTGGAGCAACTAAATGACCTCCATTTGTCTAAATATACATAGGGATTAAGGAGAGAGCGCAGGAGAGAGCCCAGTAGTGATGGGAGTGAGCGCAGGACTTCTCTTTTTGTATTTGTATTTACTTACCAATATAATTCCACTTCATGCTAGAGGTTAAAGGGATACTCCAGATTCCTAAAGCAGTTTAGCTTGCTGACATGCTTAATGTGTGCAGAGTATATCCTTTTTTTTCATTTTACAATAGAAATTTGGACTTTTACAAATTAACCTGGTTACATCCCCCTCATTAAAGTTGTTGCCTGGCGGCCCTGGACACCATCATCCACCATCAAGAGGATAACCTGCTTTCAATTAGTTTAAAGGGCCACTATAGGCACCCAGACCACTTCAGCTCAATGAAGTGGTCTGGGTGCCAGGTCCCCAATGTTTTAACCCTGCAGCTGTAAACATAGCAGTTTCAGATAAACTGCTATGTTTACACTGAGGGTTAATCCAGCCTCTAGTGGCTGGCTCACTGACAGCCACTAGAGGCTGCTTCCGCGATTCTCACTGTGAAAATCACAGTGAGAAGACGCTGAGGTCCATAGGAAAGCATTGAGTAATGCTTTCCTATGGGCGGTTTGAATGCGCATGCTTCTCTTGCCGCACATGCACATTCAGCGCTAATGTCGGCAGGAGGAGGAGAGTTCCCCAGCACCGAGGGAGCCCTGTGCTGGAGAAAGGTAAGTGTTTTAACCCCTTCAGCCCTCTTCAGCCCAGCGGGAGGGGGACCATGAGGGTGGGGGGGACCTAAGGACTATATAGTGCCAGGAAGACAGGTTTGTTTTCCTGGTACTATAGTGGTCCTTTAATCCCAACATTGAGTAAACAGCTCAAATCAGCTCAGCCCTCTCTTTCTGGCAATGTACGAGCCTTCAGTGAGGGACCCCTGGACTGGCTTTGTTGGCAGGCTCATAGTATCACCTGTCACTCTTAGCCACTACCTTATAATAGAAACTATTGTAATTTAGGTACCTACGTTAATCGACATGTAAGTCACATCGAGGATATTAGTGGCTAAAGCTATATAAGCAAAGCAACTTCATTCATAAACTGCAGAAAATTAGGTAGCAAGACTACAGGGACATGATCTATACCCCATTGTACAGCGTTACAAAATTTGCTGGCACTATATAAATAATAAAATAATACACCCTAACCAATTCATTAAGCCAAAGTTGTTTTGGTTCTTAGATTTTCTCTTTAAACCAAGGCTGTATCAATTCAGTTATGCACAGGTCTCCAGTATAACAGTTATTTAATCTAGTCAATATATCATTTTAATGGGGTTCGTTAATATCTGTTATTGCCATGTAACAATTTTCACTTGAACAACATTAATATTTTTTTATTTCACCTCTCTAAAGAATATTTGAAAAAGTTTGCCCCAGGCATTTAGAATAACAGATATGGTAGTAAAACACTCACAAGAGTCAGCAATTTCTATTTAAAGTATGTACGTGTGACACCAAAATGCAGTATAAGATTAAACAGTCCTATATTTTAGGACATAATTTGCAACATATGTTTACTAATAATCTGAACAGCTGATTTACTTCTATTTTGCTCTTAATAGATATCCAGACGTTCAGAAAAAGATGCAAAAGGAACTTGACAAGGTCGTTGGGAGAGGTCGTTTGCCCTGCATAGATGATCAGCCAAGTCTCCCCTACATCATGGCATTTCTTTATGAATTAATGCGTTTTAGCAGCTTTGTCCCTGTCACCATTCCACATGCAACAACAAAGGATACACATTTAATGGGTTATCATATTCCAAAAGACACTGTAGTGTTTGTCAATCAATGGTCTGTCAATCATGATCCTATGAAATGGTCCTCCCCAGAAGAATTTGACCCTTCTAGATTTCTAGATGATAAAGGCTTTCTAGACAAAGACCTAGTAAGTAGTATCATGATCTTCTCAGTTGGCAAGAGGAGATGTATCGGTGAAGAGTTATCAAAGCTGCAATTGTTTCTTTTTGCTTCAGTCTTAGTCCACCAGTGTGAATTTACTGCTGACCCTACATGTAACCTCAATCAGGAATGTGACTATGGACTGAGCCTCAAACCCAAACCATTCACGATCACCATGACCCTTCGGGATGGAAACATGAACTTGTTGAACAACTCTGTTCTCAGAATGAATACTGAATAATAACGCAGTGAACATTGAACATTTGAAAACAAAATTGTGAATCGTGTTCCATCATTCTTGTCTTTTCACACATGGCACAAAACTGAAACTGCTCAAAAAAACAATGAAATTTCAATAACATCAGCAATTTTTTTTTCTAATTTTAGGCATTCAAGTTCAAAGTTGAAATCTGTAAAGATTTCAAACAACTGCTGATCTGCAAGACAAAACCAGTATTGTAATTAAGCTATATAATTGTTTGCGTATAATGTTTTTGTAAATCTCACAGCATATTGTGCTGTTCCTTCGTGGCATACTCTTAGGGAAACAAATATATAATGCATTTTGTCAACTGGGTAAGTTGTTGCTATATGGTATTAGTTCATTGCACAAATTAAATTGAGCTTTGGTGGGATTTGAAGTATATTTTTCATTAAAAAATATATATTTTATTGTGTTTATATTAATTAAGCATGAAAGTAATAATATTTACTCATTATATCCCCAATAACTAATAGCCCTCTAGCTATGTGATTAAGTTATGATATATTTTCTATTTTATCTTAATATAGCAAAACATTATGTGATTATGTATAGTAAGAGACAGTTTTATTTTAATACATATAGGAATATATTAAATATATTATGTTAATGCTTAAATTTACATAGAATAATTAAGCTCATCTCAACCTTAAATGGCCATGATCTTGCCGTGTTTTCCGATGATTTCTTTGAAAAAGTTCACAATTTATTGGTTGGCTGTCCTGTGTATTATATTATGATTTTATAATCTACTAAATCAGAAAAGTCAGGGTTGCATTTTTACATGAGAAATGTCAAGTCCTTACAAAAAATATAAAGAACTATCCCTGGAACTGTTGTACAAACATAATATAAAGTGAATACCATCATTCATGTCAGAAATAGCTGGACGGTTAGAGTCTTCCTAAACAACAAAATTCCAAATTTATGCATAGGAACACGTCGAACACTATAACTACTACAGTCTATTGTAATGGTCCTAGTGCTCTTCCAGAGTAAATTGTCAAGCCATTATGGCCCCAAGTGCCCACATCTTCATCCCCTGCTTCCAGATTCTACTACATGAATCCAACTAGCTCCACTAAGCTAAGCAGGGCGGCCGCACTTATTGCCTAAGGGAGTCAGTTGAACACTTTTGGCTAATTATTTTAGTTGTGGAACGATCATGCTTAGCTCAGCGAAGACATCCAGCTTCTCTGCAGGCTTTAGTGGTTATGATGCTTACAGTAAGAGCCTATTCAGGAAACAGTGAGATGTGATGGGCTGAGAATCTAACTCCAAAATCTAGGCAGAAGTGGCCATGTTGAATTGTATCCAGAGTTTGCATCTCAGCTGTTCTATCTGTACAACTGAGTAGTAAATAAATACCTTAATGTTACAAATGTGAAGGAACACATGTACAGGAACACTATAGTCACCTTAACAACTTTAGCTTAATTAAGCAGTTTTAGTGTATAGATCATGCTTCTCGGGTTTTACTGCTCAATTCACTGCCATTTAGTAGTTAAATCACTTTATTTCTCTTTATGCAGCCCTTGTCACACCTCCCCTGGTTATGATTGACACCGCCAGCATGAAGAAAACCTGGTTTCACTTTTAATCATATGTAATTTACCTTAAACAATTGTATCTCTTTCTCTGTAAATTGAACTTTAATTACATACAGGATGCTCTTGCAGGGTTTAGCAAGCTATTAACATAGCAGGGGATAAGAAAATCTAAATTAAACAGAACTTTGCAATAAAGGAAGCATAAACTTTAGAGGACTCTTTACAGGAAGTGTTTAGGAAGGCTGTGCAAGTCACATGCAGGGAGGTGTGACTAGGCTTCATAAACAAAGTGATTTAACACCTAAATGGCAGATAATTGAGCAGTGAGACTGCAGGGGCATGATCTATACACCAAAACTGCTTCATTAAGCTAAAGTTGTTTTGGTGACTATAGGGTCCCTTTAAGATACATTTTGCTATGCTGTGGTTTTCTTTTTGGCAATAGTGTGATAATGTTCCTTTAATTTCTGTGAGATTTATTTCACCACGCCATTGTGTTGTTCTTTTGTATTTTTTTCAGCAGAGAACATGCTTAGACTTGCAGTCATACTGATATACTGGTGCGGGAAGACTGATGCATTTGCAGAAGAATTAAAGTAGTAAATCAGGGCTGTGTCAAAATGTACCATTACGTAAACATTTTGAAAACATATGTTAATAGATATTGGGCACGTACTTGAGGGAGAAAAATGATAGTTACACGCTGAGATGTGATGTTTTAAAGGTTTTGTGCACATTGCACTTTGCTGCATTTTTACCATGTTTTCAAGATTGATGATAAAGGCTGAAATGTCACACCTGGGTATTGAACAATATGCTGACTTTTCACTCAGTTAATTGTGATGTGACTGTAAGTGTTTGAACATACATTCATATATTTATTGATTTATTTATGTATTTAACATTTCGTATAAAGCGAATGCTATATAGCTGCTGTGCAAAATTGTAACAATTGGACTTGGGTGTTGTTATAGAGAGATGGATATATAATTAGACAAACCAGAATAAAATAAGTAAAGAACCCTGTCTGTGAGTTTTAGTTTGACATTTGTTGCACAAAGTGCTAAGTGAGACGGCTTGCAATATGAAGGAAGATATGCATGGGGACAAAAGGTTGCAGAGGATAAAAACAATGTGATATTATAGGAAAAAGCTATTTCTGGTGTGGTCAGTTGTGGAGTTGGTGAAATTATAGTTGGTAATTGGAGACCACACAGATTAACGGAACCCTAGAGCATTCGAAAAAAAAGGAAGTGTTGTTAAGTATTCTAGGCCCCTTTGTCCCTCAGAACCTGTAAGTTAAAGCTATTACTTACTTTTCTGGATGACCATCACTTATGATGATTTCCTGGCCAAGAGTGCTTCTCACAGAGAAGCATTGGGAGGTGGGGGCATGCACAGCAATTACAGCACTGTGCCGCTAGTTCTTGCCGTAGAGAAGCATTGAATCCACTGCTTCTTGTAGAGCACAAAGCAGTAAGTTAGAAAACCCTCCCAACTCATTAACACCTGGGAGGGTGAAGCTTAGGAACGTTATAAAAGTGCTAATTTCTCTTGAAGTAAAATAAGCAGAAGCTCTTTAAGTGTTGTTGAGTGTTCTTTTCAGAAGTACGGTCTATAGATTAGTGTGAGTCCAGGGTTAGAGAGTGGATAGAGGGAAAATATATGCTGTAAGTTGCTGTGAGTTGAGGAAGTTTCTGTGTTGTACCTAAGGAAGACAGATGGGATGCAATTTAGAATTATCATTGTATTGTATTTGATATCCATATTTTTAGGGGGATATATCTTTTAAACTGGCTATTGATTGGTACAGGAGAAAGGAGAGTCATTGCGGCTGCTATAGGGATGATTATTTCTATTCAGCATGTAGAAGCTACAGAGGCAGTGTTTCAATGTACGTCTCTGTCCTATTATAGTGATAGGTTGAAGAAAGGGGGTCCTATTGTGCAATGATGGAAAAAGAAGAAGGAGATAAAAGTTGGAAGATGATAAAAGTTGAGATAACTTGTGATGGGAAAAGGACACATTCATAGACAATATGGTGGATGGTATCGTATTTGTTGGAGTGGTCCATTATGATAGTTAATTAACAAGGAAAAAGTATGTTAAATGATTTGGCGGTGAGTGGGAAATAGTATACACCAGGACTTAAAATGTGTTGCCCCATGCTATCAACCAGGCCTTAAAAGTTACTTGTCACTGCAAGCCATTGTATACCCTCCAAGGGTGAATCTACTGTCTGGACTAAATTGTTAATCACCAATGGCTAGTGACCAGTGACCATTTTGAAGCCTGGTATACACGGTGTAATGAATACAGGTCTTCAGAATAACTGCAGTTTAGATACAGGTACACACATTCACTACTACAACCTACAAGAGCAATGGTATCCTTGCACCAATGCAGGCACAACCGTTCCAGTTATTTTTAAGTATCAAGATGTTTTGAAGAGCTTTTGAGAAAACTGCAGTTTCACTTGCAATATCTATTTACTAAGGTGCTGAGTGAGATAAAGTAATATAGAGGAATTTTAAAAAATCCGGCTGGTTTATCATTCACAATCTTCTCATGCTGAAATGTGGTAAGATTTATCAAGCAAAGTACATTTTATTCTGGGTGCATAAAAAGAAAAATGCACCAGTAATGGCAGGATATTTATTAAGACAAAACAGGTGCTATTTTAGGTGGGAAATGCTAAATGTTGAGAACAGAGAAGGCTTAAATGAACACTCTGGGGACCATAACAACTTAAAAATTTACTTGTTATGGTGCCAGGAGGTCGCCAGGTGGTTTCTTTCCTAAAGGGGTTAAAACATTCTTGAAAAGTTATTCCCCAAAGGTTGCCATCAGGGTATTTTCTCAAGCAGCACCTGGCTTCTAAAATTGCTGATTGCCGAGAGCGGCCGCTAACTCTCTAAGCCAATCAGTAGCCCCCACTCTACAAATATGTATGTTTAACCCCATGGCGTCTAACCGTGCACCTAATATCATTTTATGGCAAATCCTGCTCTGGTTGTGAGACATTCTATTCCCATGGTTTACATGATTGTTCCTTATTTAGAAATTTGGCCCCAGAATAACACTTGACTTTATCTTGAAAAATGTCATCCTTTGTCTTCATAAATTTATCTCTAAGTTTAAAAAAGTATTAGTTCTTAGTCTCAGACAATGAGTATATGAGGATGTGGGATAATTTACTACCAATTCCATTAATTTGTTTTGTAAAATAATGATTTATGTAAGATTTTTTTCCCTTGAGAAACCGGCTTAATGGTCAATCTGAATAAAATTTCCAGTCAGTAGAGTTGACAATATGGCACATGCTTCCCAAGTTAATTTGAAGTCATCACACAAATATTTTTGGCAAATAGATACCACAGTCATGCAAAAAGGGACAGGGCAAGATGGAGTAGAGACCCGTTTAAACTTTGTAAACTGTACAAAACATAAAATCTATTGATGTATTAAATGAAGCAGGCTACCTTTAACTTTATATACTGGTTTAGGTAAGAGAATACATTATTATTGTTTGAGTGATTTCTCTTTTTACATAAAAAGTCTCAGGTTTTTGCAAAACTCCTCTTTGGAAATTTTATTCTTGTTATTGAGATCTGTGAATTATGTTTTTTTGTTTTGCTTAATATTTAGATCTACATTAGATCAAAGTTATGTGTGCATTTCTACATTTATGTATTTTATATTTTTGTGTTAGCATAGCACAAATCATCTAGTAAACTGTTGTATAGTTTGTTCCCTTTATCTTAGATCAATCTAATGAAATCAACTTTAAGCCTTCTTTATAAAGATCCTTTAATTCCAGTGTTTCCAAATAAATGTTTTTTAATTTACTATGGCTTTTTTTTTTTATATAGGAAAGTTTTCTCTAATTCTAAAGTATTTTTAAATTTTAAAAAATAATATATATATATATATATATATATATATATATATAGAGAGAGAGAGAGAGCATGAATGATTTTACAGGACTTTGTTTCTGAAACAATATTTACTACAACTAAAGAAAGAACCAGGACACCATTATTAAGTGGCAGATGTCTTGAAAGTCATTTCATACTGCCATTACAGTCTGGTCGGTAAAGACTACATACCAGCATGAAATGCACTGTCTATCTAATAATGAATGGTGCATTCCATGTTGGTAATTGGATCTTGTGATCTAGTATTTCAATTTGTATTGGTTAAAGACATACAATAGGATCAGCAATACAAACGTGGATTCCTGACCTTATAGTGTTACAAAACACTATTTAGGCTTCTGCCCCCCACTCCTCCCTGCTTACACCTTAAGTAAGGTAAAAATTCACCTTTAACCCAGCACTGTGCATGTCAGCCAGTACTGCCCCACCCCCTTCACTGAGACCATCAGTATTGATTATCTCAGCTTCCCTGTGGAAAAGCATTGGATTGGCTGAGATAGTCAATTCTGATGATCTTAGCCAAGGAGGTGGGGGAGGGGGAGGAGCCAAACACCATACTGGCCAATCAGCACCTCCTCATAGATGCATAGAATCAAAGCATCTCTATGAGGAATGTTCAGCACCTCCATGCTGACCCAGGAAGCACCTCTATTGGCGGTCCGAGTGACTGCCACTGGAGGTGTCCCTAGCGAGCAATGTAAACAATGTCTTTTGTCTGAAAAGACAGTGTTTACAGCAAAAAGCCTGCAGTGACTAACTATACTCAGAACAAATAGATTAAGCTGTTGTTGTTCTGGTGACTATAGTGTCCCTTTAATTAAACAGCCCTTGATCCATAGGAGTTAACAGGGGTTCAGCTTTACAAGCAAACACTCAGGTCTATTCACTAAAGGTCGGGATTTCAGCAATCAAAAAATTATTTTCAAATGCAACTATGCTTTCAGTTCTGTCATTTTACCTTAAAATTAAAATTCACTCTAAATTCCTAGCAATTCACACTTTAGTGAATATCTCTGACTAGTTATATAATTATCATTTAAGACCATAAGGCAGAGCATAAAGGTCACGTGGATCAGCATAGGTTTGCTATATATTACACGTGCTGGGTTATTTGCTGAGGTGAGGATTGTTGAGAATGCAAAGTGAATTCCAAGTGAATTTCGAGACCAAAATAACAACTGCAAGAATAGCTGCATTGGGGAATTTTTCCAATTCAGCTATTTTGGAGCTAAATTTAAAATTCACTTTAAATTCAGTTTGAATTCCCAACATTTCTTCCTTCATTAAATAACCATGGTGAATTACAGAAATACTATGAGAATGGAAATGGGATTTCTCTCAGGTCCAGAACCATGAAGCCCCTGCCTTTTTAGGTGATGCTAATTGCAGATGTTGACAAGATTGTCCTAGTAAATTTCAATATTATTTAGATTCTCTTATAATTAACCAATTTCTTGGTATGTATTGTAATAATATATTTATATTTAGAAAATACTGTTCACTCACAATCCAAACATATTTTACCATTTTTGCGATTTATTTGAATCATGTTTGAAATTCAAGATTAAGTATTTCAATTAACACAGTACATCACAACCCTCTGTTCACGGGTGTGATCTAAGTGACTTCACTCTTCCTATTATGGTCTAAAGAAGGTGCATGGTTTAAAAAAACGTTCAAGAATATGCCTTTTATATGTAGCATAGCAACTTCACAGTAACCAAGATGATGTATCTGAAGAATTCAGTCTTAGGATATTAAGGGAAAATGTTTCAAGATATGTTTAAAATATAAAGGAATGGTATTATTGGAATGTGGAGTTGGAGACCAAAACCATATTTAAAATAAATAAATAAATTCAAAGCACATATTATAGCTACAGGTTTGCATTTATCTTCAGCCGCTAATGTAATCTAACACCTGTACTGCCAATGAAACTGTATTGTCATATCTCATTAAACATTCATTTATTCACACCTTATTGTACCTTGGTTTATTTTTTTTTACTGTCCTATACTTAAATATGCTATTTTGTGTTGTCTATGGGAAGGAGTTTTGTCAAGTAATAATTCATGAGATCAGTGGCTGATAATGCTTCCACAAACATAAGTAAGCATTAAGTAGCACATAAGAAGAATTTCTCAGGAAAATGGCTTTACCTCCCACTAAACATGTTTAGTGGGAGGTAAAGCCATTTTCCTGAGAAAGAAATTTATCGGGAGATGTAATGGTATTTATTAATTAATGACTTTACATCATAAAGAAAGCATATTTAGTGTAATGCTTTGGGGGCACCACTAGGGGGAGTGTGTAGGAAGACATGTGCTTCTGGCAGTGACATCACAGGCCAGCCTACTTACACTGAATAAAAACCAGATGGAGGAGAAAACTCAGTCCCTTTGCCTGTACCTGACTGAACCTAAGATGTAGTACCAGCCCTGACTTAACCCCAGCCAAAGGGCTGGGGCCTTGTAAGTAAAATGTTGTGTAACATGTAGCAACCTTTTGTATAATATGTTGTAGTTTTGTATTGTATCATAATTGTAGTAAATTGACATTCTGCTAGCATCTGTTTATTTGTTATAGTTATATTAAATATACATTTAATATTACAACGTTTTGTGTATTTTCTATCCACATATTCGACCATAATACCATGAATTATAAAAATATTAATGTTATTCCGTATTGCTTAATTATTATGTATTAAGAGATTAATATTCATATTTAGGTCACGACCACAACAGGAGGTAAGGCCATTTTCTCAACGCGTTTAGTGGGAGGTAAAGCCATTTTCCTGAGAAATTCTTCTTATGTGCTCCTTAATGCTTACTAATGTTTATGGTTGCACCAACTGTTAACACATCCATGTGTGGAGTCATTGAAGCTGGACAAAATATACATGTTAGTAAAAAATAAAAAAATAAAAATTTTGTATCCAAGAATAGAGATGTCGCGACATTGTCCTCCCTTCAGGCCCCCATCCCTGAGCGGTGGGTGGGGGCCCTAAATTAGAAAAGGGGGGGGACCTAATGTCCTCCCCCTGGCCCCCACCCCTGAGCGGTGGGTGGGGGCCCTAAATAATAATTAGGGGGACCTAATGTCCTCCCCCCTGGCCCCCACCCCTGAGCGGTGGGTGGGGGCCCTAAATTAAAATGAGGGGGGACCTAATGTCCTCCCCCTGGCCCCCACCCCTGAGCAGTGGGTGGGGGCCCTAAATACTAATTAGGAGGGGAACTAATGTCCTACCCCCTGGCCCCCACCCCTGAGCAGTGGGTGGGGGCCCTAAATTAGAATGAGGGGGGGACCTAATGTCCTTCCCCCAGGCCCCCACCCCTGAGCGGTGGGTGGGGGTCCTAAATACTAATTAGGGGGGACCTAATGTCCTCCCCACTGGCCCCCACCCGTAAGCGATGGGTGGGGGCCCTAAATAAAAATAAAAAAAACCCTCTCCCCCAGGTGACTAGTGGTCCCCAAACCCCTAGTCACCCCCCTCCCCCAAAAAATTAACCCCTACCTACCCCTCTCACCCTAAAAATAATGAGGGGGGACCATTTAACTAAGTACCTGTAAAAAAATAAAATAAAACTTACCATTTGATGTTTTCTTTCTTCTAAAATCTTCTTTTTTCAGCCCCAAAAAAGGCCAAATAAAAAGCCATAATAACTGACGCACTTTAAAAAAAAAAATCCATCTTCACCCATGGTGGGCTCCACGCAGACTGAGTTCTGCAGGGCGGGGGAAGGCTTATAAAGCCTTGCCCCGCCCTGCAATTAGGCTCAGAGCACTCTGATTGGTGAGTTTAAGCCATCCAATCAGAGTGCTCTGACAGATAAATGAAGAGACTGACAGGTAAGTCTCTATCTATCAGAGTGCTCTGTGTCATTTTACACAGCGTGGGAAAGTTCTTTGGAATTTTACCACGCTGTGTAATTTGACTCATAACTCTCTTTTTGCGCTCTTTTTTTTTTTTTTAAGTGCGTCGGGTATTATGGCTTTTTATTTGGACTTTTTTGGGACTGAAAAAAGAAGATTTTTTTTTTTACAGATTTTTTTTTTACAGTGAGCAGCCACAGGCTTGCAGTATAGCGAGTAGGGGCATAATTTACTAATACTAAGTAACCTTTACTTAGTATTAGTAAATTTGTCTGAAACCAATTTAGGTCTTTCAGCATTTTAGTAGATAGCTCCCTAATATCGTGGGAATTAGGGAGTTATCTACTTATTCATTCCTGTCATTACATTGACTGGCCAAGTAACTTACATTTTATATTAATGTGTGTTACTTGATTGTTGTAAGTGTTGCAAATGCCTACAGCTGAATCCTGACTACGTTTGTATACTTTTTATTTAAAATTGTATACAGTGTAACATTCTTCTTCTTCCACTGGGTAAGTATATTAGTACTTAGGCAATACTGTGCTTCGGAACTTCGGTAATTCGGCACTTCGGCACTTGGACACTTCGGAAATTCGGTAATTTCGGAACTTCGGGACCTCGGCAATTCGGCACTTTGGCTATTCGGACATTCGGAAGTACCCGAATGTCCGAATTGCCCGAAATTCGTCCGAATTCATATTCGGCCCGAAACGAATTGCACATGTCTAATGCTTTAATCCCAGTGTTTTATTAATTTACTATGTTGTTGTTGCAGTGCTTGGAGTGTTCAATTAGGAGTTTAAAAGACCCGATATCCACTAAATATTACGTATGTGAATTTAAAATCAGTCCTCATATTAGTTAGATTGAGTCCCAAAATTTTGATAGCTAAAGATACACTATATGGAGAAAAGTATTGGGATGCACTTCATTTTTGAATTTAGGTGTTTCAATTATACCCATTGCCAAAGGTATATAAAATTAAGCAGTAGCGATGCAGTCTGCATTTACAATCATTTGTGAAATAAATGGGTCTTTTGATGAGCTCAGTGAATTTAAGCGTGGTACTGTGATAGGATGCCACCTTTGCAATAAGTCAGTTTGTCAAATTTCATCTCTGCCAGATATTCCACAGTCCACTTTAAGTGGTATTATTGGGCAGTGGAAGCATTAAGGAACATCAGCAACTGAGTGAGAAAGTGGAAGATCACATAAAGTCACGGGGTGCATGGGTTGTAAAAGTCATCAATGCTCTGATGATTGCACAGCTGAAGAGTTCCAAACTTCCACTGGCATTATTATCAGCAAAAAAACTGTGTGGCGAAAACTTCATGGAATGCATTTCCATGGGCAAGCAGCTGCATGCATACCTCTCATCACCAAGTGAAATGTGAAGTGTCAGATCGAGTGGTGATCCACTGTTCCACCATTGAACTCAGGAGTAGTTGAAATATGTTCTATGGAGTGACGAATCATGCTTCTCTGTTTGGCAGTTTGATGGACAAGTCTTGGTTTGGTGGATGGCTGGAGAACATTACCTGCCTGACTGCACTGTGCCAACTCTAAGGTTTGGTGGAAGAGGGATAATGGTATGGGGCTGTTATTCAGGGGTTGGGCTAGGCTTCTCACTTTGAGTGAAGGAAAATCTTAATTCTTTAGCAGACCAAGACATATTGGACAATGCTATGATTGCAACTCTGTGGAAACGGTTTGAGGAAGGCCCTTTTCTATTTCAGCATGACTGTGCCCCAGTGCACAAAGCAAGGTTCATAGAGACATGGTTTTGGTGTGGAAGAACTTGACTGGCTCGCACAGAGCCCTGACCTCAACCCCATTGTACACGTTTGGGATGAACTGGAATGGTGATTGCAAGCCAGGCCTCTTCTAACATCAGTGCCTAACCTCAGAAATGCTTTACTGGATGAATGAGCAAAAATTTCCACAGAAACCAGAAAATCTTGTGAATTTTTTTCCCAGAAGACTGTAAGCTGTTATAACTGCAAAGGGGAACCAACTAAATATTAATATCTATGTATTTAAAATGCGATATCATAAAAAGAAACCTCTTGGTGCAATGGTCAGGTATCCCAAGACTCATGTATTGTAATAGTATGTAGTGAGTATGTAATAGTTTTACTTAATATTATTTAGTTCATCTACTATTTATATTATCACCCACTTTATCTAATAAAAACTGTATGTTGCAAATGCTGTCTGCTGTTACCTAACTGCTTCCGCATACAATAATATTTCTTCAGGGAAGCACTCTGGCTCGTGTTTCCAAATTGCACATAAATATATCAGAAATAAACAGTGTATTTCTTTACTCTTCATTTTCATCTCTCACAACATCCTGAATGAATTACTCGTTTGAGGCTCATTGCCAACCAGTATCCCAGAGTGCGTGACCAGCTTGTATAGTTAGCTGATTGCAGATAAAAAAGTTAATAAACAAATGTCTTTTGATGTCTCCCAGTGATTGTTTTCAACGACGGCATGAAAAAAAATGAATTTAATGTAAAATAGAAATGTGAAACATAACTTTCTATAAGGAGCAAGATGAAAGGAGATAAGGAGGAGGTCATTTTATCTTAATGTATGCAATGAGAAATTGTTACGGTATGTAGAGTGTCCCTTCAATGTCAACTAAACTGGCCACATATACTCCGGGTCGATGCAAGGATTTTTGCCCTTCTCCCCCCCGATATGCTCTGCCCACCATGTGACATCACAATGTCCCACCCATAAGATCTGCCATAAGATCTCCCATAAGATCTGCACTCAGTGTTGTTTCTCAGTATTGTTTACATTAAAAAGCCTGCAGGGACAGGCTATAGACACCAGAACCACTACATTAAGCTGTAGTGGTTCTGGTGACTACAGTGTTCCTTTAATGTAAGGTAAATTAGAGATTAGTGCCACTAATAATATACTGGATTGCCTACTTACCACCAGATGAGGACAAGAGGATGATGATGGGCTCAGGTTGCAGTCTGGCTCCACTGGTCTGGTGTAGAACAGGCTCTAGGGAGGCTGTTTGTAACAGTGTTCACAAAAATCAACAAACAGGAAGCAGTTCAATTTTTTGGGGGCCCCTT